CGAATGAAGCCAGCATGTGCTTACGGTGTGTGAATATTTTTCACTTTTTATTTTATTACAAGCAGCTGTGCTCTGGCATTACAATATCATCTACTACAGTATCATCAATTGCCACGAAGCTAGAGAATTCACATACACATCTCCTCTGATCCATGTGATTAGTTTGGTATTACACTTCCAGTAAGTTGATTGAGACCAATGTAAAAGTCCCCATTATGTTTCCTTACGCAGCAGATGTTTGTTACACAGAATGCTTTTAGAAGCGGTCATTGTGAACTGTTTGAAAAAAGGGCAGGCACTTTAAAAAAAAAAAAAAAAACTTTGCATCTGATTGGAAGAACCACCTGTCAATCAAACATTTTTTATCTGAATCATCTTTTCTACTGTCAAAATGATTGCGGATTTTACGAGCATTCAGTGGCTGTGCAATGTGACTAGTATGGGTCAAGTTCCAAAATACACCGGATCCTACACTTCCCATAAATCGACTCAATAGTATCTTTTATAGGGCCCCTTCTGCATCCTAAATGCTTTTTTATAAACTTGACACCCCCCCAGTTTCCTGACATTAGGTACTAGGAGTCATTTTGAGCATGAGGTGATGTTAATACCACTTCATTTGAATACAGGTGGTGGTAATTCCCCAAGATATGCAAAAATGAACCAGCGAACCGTATTTTGGATTAGACGCGGATGTAAACAATGCAAGTTTCTTAATGTTCAAAAAATGACTCAAAAATAAGAATGACTTCGGAAAGCTCTTTGAAGAGGTACCGGTCAGAAGACATTAGAAAACAGTACAAAAAGCTTTCTCCTGATGAGGAGTTAACTGAACTGCATGTGTAGAAATCGGGGGAACGCCCCTTTAAAAAAAGGGATTTTTATGGGGTTTTTTTCTTGAATAAAAACCTAAGAGGACAGAGGCTGTTTGACAATGTTTTAGCTGTAAATTCCTTGGAGAATTAGCAGATAAGACTGATTTGAATTGCCTTAGGGACACAATAGACTGACTCATATCAAATAACTCAAACAATGTGAGACAGTCAATGTCTCTCTGTGTGAAGTAGAGCTGGAGGCCTCTGTATTCAGGGGTTTTAACTTCAGGGCGGTTGCCTCACTCTCTAAACAACCGGCCTGAGGAGAAAAGACTGGCAAGATCCTTATCCTCTATAAACTCCTTAAAAAATGAAAATTAAGTGTTTTCACAAGGTTTGTTGTATGATTCCAAATATATCCGTTAGGTAACTTATTAAAATATATTTCTATACAAAACAATTCTCTGAAGTTTTATATTATCTTACATTGTTTTATTTAACTTTTTCATGTTTAACTCCCTTTTCTCTAATGTTTTTTAATTTTTGCATTTTTAATTATTGTTTGTCTTGCAATTGTATTCCCTCATGTAAAAGTCCCTAGTAACTTTATTTTGAAAAGACAAGTGTTATTATTTAAAGTTGAGCAGCTTGTGTCAGTGGCACAGCTCTCTACGCTGTTTGCGTAAACCCTCGCAGGGAGTGGCAGGGTACGCTGGATGCATGGCGCAAGCGGGGAGTCTCCCGGACATAGCGGGACGGATAACCTGATGGAGCTCTGCTCAAGTTTACCAACACGTATCTAGCTTACTCAAATGTTATACTTTCTACACACCGTTACATGTAATTTTCACTTTCTTTCACCCGTGTAATAAGAGAAGGCAAGGGAGACTATTCTAAGTGACAGTTTACGTTAGAAAACTTTTCCTGCGCATTCATGATTCACACCACAAACGAGATTAATGACGTTTAACAGAAACTCTGCATTTCGTCAGGTGTAGACTTTGTGCTTTGTCGTTTAGCATTGGAGGCTTTTACGACCTTCGGTTATCAGACTGTTCCTAAACAAACATCCCCGACAAGCGGAGGCCTGTTAGCTACACTTTTATATGAGAAGGTCCCTTTAACGGCTGAATGCGTGAGGGCTTCAGGTAACGGAAGAGCCTAAAGTTTGATGCGAATACTCCGAACAAACTTCAAATAAAACCTCCCCGGGTGGATGAATCTCCTGATTCTGTCTCAAAGATAGCAACCCACTGTGTGCCTGTCAGAAGTCTTTGGTTTGGAGCTTTAAAGTAGATCGAGTTGTATAACTTCAACTGTCCATAAGGAAATGTTAGCTAACGGTGCCGCTAACTTACCTTTCCGGTTGTATCAGGCAGGTAATGAGTCTTAAAATGTCTCCTCTCTACCGCAGCTGCTGCACGTCCTCTGGTCCTGTTGTAGCGAGAGGATTTCATGTAGATCTCGCCATCAAAAACGACTTGTTTGGTCTTTGATGAGCTTCAATCCGCCTCTTTTTTTTTTTACCTCTCCCTCTAACCTGAGATTTGCCACATTATCCTAAAAAAAAAACTGTGTCGCACTTTCTGCCCAAACTCTTGTCTTGTGGTCGTGATTTTTAAGGTGGCCGAACGATGACCAAAATGTTTATCTTTTCACTTTTGCGTCGGATAAAAGTAGTATGGTGTGCTCAGGCTTGTTTTCCGTTTAGCCGGGTACTTGCATTGGTGAGTTATAGTGGATATTATGGTAGTATGTCAGGAGGGGGAGGGGCGATGCTGGCTATTTAAGACGTGAGCCTCTGCTCTGTATGAGGAGTGGCTAGTGCCACTGATAACGGTAGAAGAAGTACTCAGATCCTGTACTTAGGTAAAAGTAGAACTACCAGTGTTGGGATACCCTGTTACAAGTAAAAGTCCAGCTGTTATTTAAGTATTGATTCAATTTCACATCATTAATTCAAATCTGCGAAGTAACTAAAGGTATCAAATGAATGTTGTGGAGTAAAAGTACACTATTTACCTTTTGTATTGGGGTAGAAGTACAAAGCAGCAAAAAATACTCCAGTAAAGTAGCCTAGGCCTACTTCAAAATTGTACATTAGTACAGTCAGTGGATGTAGCCTACTGTAGGCTACCCCACTGATAACCGATCAGGTTAAAGTAGTTGAAAGCACATTTTACACAATCATCAAACTAATCTATATTTCTCCCGAAACAAAACTAAATCTAATAATTGCAATGCAGGGATGCATATATTTAAAATTGAATGCATTAGGATACTTTTTGGACTTGAAAGACCATTGTGTAAAATTAATCATATTATCAAAATCGAGAGTTAAAAATGTACATACATAAAGGCAAAAATAATAATGAACTCCAATTTCACTGAATTTGTATCTTAGGACTCGTAAACTTTTAAACACAAAGAAGGTTTAAAAAAGTATACATTTTATGGTGAACCCTTCAAAGAATAATGTGTGCTTTTTAAAATATTAGTATATTATTGTGGTTTATTTACAAAAATGGGCATGTTATCCAGTTGATAGAGTAAAGTATTTAGTATACATATCAAGTCATAATGTTGTATGGTGTTCATATATTTGCAGATAGTACTTAAACGTTTGGCCTTTGCTGGTAGAATCAGACACTCACTTCATGTTGCAACCTAAACACCCTTTAATCCATACATTTATTTTAGTGTCACCGCATGATTAACTCAAGTACAGCATGGGTGCTGAAATAATTCATTGAAATACACCAAATAAATTAGATTAAGTGTGAATTATCTGTGAATTATTCCTTATTAGACTAGTTTAAAACCTCTTGTGTTCTAACAGTAGTTTTCTCTTTGTTAAGGCAAGTTGAAACAGGCAAGGCACTCTTACCCACGCTCAAGTTGGGCCAAGTACATTTTTTCTCCAGATTTTACAGCCCTCTGGGGCATTTTTGAGATAGGAGCTCTTGATGTCAAAACAAGCATGTGCTTTTTTTAGGACTCCAGCCCAGACCAAATTAACATTCATTTACATGGACTAATTAATTACTGCTTTCAACAAAGGCAAAAAAAGACTTGCCCATCAGAATATATGCAAAATAAAAAAAATGTCATAAGTCAGAATTGATTCAAGGCTGTGAGGCAGGCTTGTGCTGTGTGCACGTGCAGCTTGTACAACTTTATTCAGCCTGCTCTACATATTGTTGTTATTTTTTTCATCCACACCTTTATGATGTCTTGAAGGTCGATTTCCACGTGATGGACATCATTAAATAAAAATACACATGTGACATTTTCCAACCATTGTGTAGTAACATTTTTCTCCTTCTTATTGCACACATGTACTTTGTTGTGTGGTGATATCCAAAGAGTGTCTTACCCACACATTAATGTGTTCCTAAAACTGTCAGATTATTTACTTACTAAGTATTAGTTACTAATATTTCACATTATAACTTATAGTATCCTCAAGTTACAGTCTTTTTGCAGGAGGGTTTCTCCTTAGATTGCAGCTACAAGGTAAACAGAACAGATGTTATCCCTCATTCTGCTGTCTGTTAGTGGCACTAATCACAGTTCATACTCCCAGGCATGCCGGAGGAGGACAAGGCGTGTTTGGACCGGTTTGGACTCATCTGACCGAACCCAAAAAGCTGTGGCAGTCGTCCTCACTTCATACCCCAGCTGTGGTTACACACACACCTCAGCATTTTCCATCCTCTTCTTACCTGACCTAGATATTTATGCATGTCATTAATAAATCATGGCTGACGTGGGATTATCAATGACCTAACATGACTGTGCAATTATAGTGGACACTGTCTACAGGCTTGCATTTACAAATTACTTGTATGAATGAATTCAAAAGCAGCAACAATAAAAACACTACAATATATTTAGTATTTCCTTCCTGTAAAGCGTTAGTTAAATTCAGTCCAACACTGGAGGCCAGATGTTCTTTGGAACTTTCCTCAATTCTTCTTCAGGCCTATAGAGAGCAGCACACTCCCCTGGATATCTCATTACTGATCTAACACTGATACAACCTTAGTATTCTGACGTATTTTCAAGCAAAAATAAACAAAAAAATACATTTTTTGAATCTTTACACCCAGAAAAGATGCCAACTTTTGGTAAATAACACGTCAAGAAGCAGACAGTTAAGCAGACTCACATTTTTTTCTTCTAAATTGTACTTTATTTTCTTTTAAAGACATATGTTTTAAAACAGCGATTGTAGAGAATAAATAAAGAAACATTATGTTTTTTTTTTTTACTTCCATAGGTACATTTATGTAATTAAAAACTCTATAATAAGTGTGTTCATTGTCTTGAAGACCACAAGAATCCTCTTTTTTTTTCTTAAATGAAAAAAGAAATTGTCACATCTCCACCCATCCAACCTCACCAAATTGATTACCAAATAAATTAAACGTAAAAAATCAAGATAGAAAAATTCCCAGCCATTCCTTCCGCTTTGATAATTTTAAAAGTAGTGGCAGCAGAGAATCTTAACTTGTGAAGTCTTTAAACTCCATTTTTAAATCAAGGTATATACAGTGAGGAAATCCAAATCTCTTCCTGTGTAATCTCCCCCTTGTTTTTTTAAATGTACGTATAAATAATAAAACTAAATCTACATAACAATATTACCAATGGTAATCATACAGAATAGTATTTACTTTTGCCTCCGACTGTAGACTGGCCTTCTGTTAACGCCATGGACCACAAATCACACTATACAGTAGAACCCTGTTCAGAAGAATAACATCATGATATGCTTTTTCTTAACATGTAGATCTTGTTGCCGACAATAGAGTATGTACATAATATAAATGAATCCAGCTGTGGAATGATAGGAAATCTGGAGCACTTCTGATATTGAGGATGCGGTTTCTGTAGATTTATTCTGTCGCCGATATTACTGCTGTTGTTTTTGTTAGCGCATACACGTGATACTGCTTTCATGAAGTGTTGCTCCTGTGCTATACGGTTGGTCAAACAACCAAAAAAGGCTGGGACATCCCAAGTGGTTTTCTTGATTGAACTCTTAGGTTTTACCTGCAGGTAAAGAGGAAGAGAAGAGAGAAAAGAAGAAGAAAAAGAAGAGAATTAGAAAACAAAAATCTCACAAATCATCATCGAACACACACCCACACACATGTAGGACTTTGGAAGTGGAGTGGTGTCTGCAATACACACTGCTTGCACTGATGCCTCAGGGGAGTGTCAGTAATCAACTAGTGTCCATGCAACTCTAATAGTGACAGTCACACTGCTGCAAGTGTATGCACGTTCTTAGAGAGTAGTTTGTCATCTCTTTTGGCAGGCAAATTAATTCAGAACATGCATAGTAGGAATTCTGGTGGGGATGACTATAACGCTCCATTGTTTTTACGAAAACTCTTGGGAAAAGTTGTTACATTTAGTCGAATGATATTCAGAACCAGGTCAATCACTAAACTGCAGTTTCTCACAGAGGATAGTTAAATCCAATCATCCAGCATTTAATTAGTTGTGCGAACAGGGCATCTGCAGCTAAAGAAATGTCGGAGCAGTAAATGTGAATTACTGTCCTTTATTATTATTGACTACATTTAAAAACTCTTAACAAGCATTCATTACAAACCCTCAAACTTTGTTCAAACTTGCCTTATTTACTCTACATTTTATTTCTGATTCGAGATACAGGGTACCATTTCCAAAGATATTAACGTGGCAGAGTATATGAACAAACAAATGACAGGAAATCTAGGCTATTCTTATCAGGCATATAATGCAGCCATTACAAATAATAACACATATAGCTTACAAAACTTCCATATTTGTAAAGGGGTATTGGTTTTTGTAAAATGTTACAGAGTTGTAAAGAAATTAGAGATAGTTTAGAAATGTTATATACCAGAAGCAGAATAATATAAATAATCTGCTAGGATTTATTTTTGTATTATTCAGGATTTCATTTCAGTTTACATTTTCAAACTTGTTCATTGACCTACAGATACCCTGTGATTAATTAACATTTTATGTGCCAAGTCAAAAATGTTTTATGTATATTTGAATACCATGAGGTCTTATTTGTGTTAGCTCTTATAACGTTTATTAATATTATAATGTTTTTGGAAACCCAGAATTCCTACAGAGGAATGCAGTTCCTCAGCCAGCAGCACGTGTCACAGGAACCAAACAGCTTTACCCAAAACCTTCTAAAGTAAGGTTAGTGTCTCTGTGGTACAACACACACACACTGCACACACACACCCACACACACAGTCACTTACACATGAACAATTTTCCACATCTAATCAATACAAAATACTCACAAATATAAATGCACGCACCTTCTTGTTGCTTAACATACACGCACAAATACCATGTGGTAATCCATTTACAGGGGCACGATCAGTACATTTCCAGTCTCACGAAACCAAACAAAGTTCAGGCACAAAGTCACTTGGAATTGAGTTACAACCAAACAAAAACCCCACACTCACCGAAAACTACCACACCAACCAACTAAACAAAGGGAATGTGTAAGAATGATAATCATGACAGACAAAAAGTCAACTAATCAGAAAACAAAAGAAAGGAAATCAATTGTATGTATCCATATTTGATGGACAGCAGGTTGATTTAGCTCTTAGCATTGAAGCTTTTAGAGAAAAAAAAACGCATGTCATGATCATCAGTTGCTTACAGATGCTAAGGTAAAGTGACAGTTATTGATCAGTGTTTGCAAGGAATAAAACCAGGACAAAATAATAAGAGGAAACTCACAACGCACCAAACACAGTTCATGGTCGCCACAGTAACCCGCCATGCAGTTTGAGCATGGTGAATCAAGGCAACGGCCCAAAATAAAAAATTGCTAATGGCAACCATCACAGGCAATATCGCCACAGCAACCAACACAGGCCAATTAACTTACAACGCAGTGAGAAGGAAGAGGGGGGGAGGTTTTAGCGGTTGCTAGGCAACCGTAGCCATAGCGACGCACGTCTCCACGATATATGTATGGACAGGACAGTCTTGAGAGTGGTGTGATGGTTTTGTTCAGGAAAAATGGCATATGGCACAGCACAAAAACAATAAATGAAAAGTAAAAACAAAAAATTAATGACGAACAGTAGTTGGCATTTAACCCTGCGACAGAACACTGGTTAGGCAAAAACATTTGAACCCAAGTAAAAAAATCAGCTCCTCAATCAAAGTGTCCTACATGCTGAGCAACAAAAGAAGCAGACGCTTTTACACAATGTATTTCAAACTGATGAGAGCTGCCGCCTCATTAAAGTTAATCTACGGTAGGGTTATTGACTTCTTCATTTCCACATGAAAGACAGCCGTTTAAGAGCTGAGCCCCCCAATTATATCCTCTGTCTCTTTAACTTCCACACACATTTCAGCTGTCTGTCAATCCCTCCCCGTCGCCTCAAGTGTGTCAATAGACAATAACTCACCTCCTTCAGTAAGGCCTGTTGGCATCCTTGGGCCTCTTCAGCTGCACCTTCAGTCTCTTCATGCCGATCTGGAAGCCGTTCATAGCCTGGATGGCAGTCTGGGCACTGGAGGGGTTGTCAAAACTTACAAAACCTGAAGAGGAAGAATGAAAGAATGAAACGTCTATCAATAGCATCATTTATCAAACAAAGTAAAAATATCAAACAGTTTAAAAAGAAGGAAAAATGTAAATGACTCAAATGATTACATGAAAAGGATGACTACATCTAAATGTTGTTTTGACTTGGTTTATGTGATTGATTGATTGATTGATATATAATGGAATAGGGGGAAAACTAGATAAGCATGTTGCATCTTACTGCTCCATTTTGGACATGAAATGTAATTTATTTGTCCTATAAGTTCTTGAAAACCTGTTGTATATGTTCACCGTTATATATGGTTTTGTTGTTCTGCTTTTTAAATATACATTTGTTTGTTTTAATGCTCAAACTAAGTACATTTAATTCAATTAAATGGGGAAAAAGCTAATATGACATTTACTGTATGGTGAAACTGGTCTTTAAAAGGCCACAACAGCCATCACATTGGCTCACCAAAGCATTTACTCTGGTTGGTGGCACGGTCCACAAAGACCTTTGCAGAGATGACGTTTCCGAAGGGCAGGAACATCTGCAGGATCTCAGAGTCGGTGAACTCCTGCGGCAGGTGGTAGATGAAGATGTTGCATCCCTCTGGACCTGGACACAAATAGAGACGAGACGACACAGAGATGACAAGGTTAGGAGATCAGTGTGGATCAGTTATAGTTAGAGCAGTTATTGTTAGTGGTAAAGTCCTAGACTCCTGAGTCTGATTTATGCTTATATTTGTTATGTCAATTGTTTATGTCTCTTTTATTCAGTATAACACATATATGTATTGTTTCTCATCTTTGTCAAATTTCATTTATTGACTTTATTATTTATTTTAGTTTGAATAATAAGGGTTAGGTTTAAAAAAAAAAAAATCTCTTTTATATCATATGAATGGAAATGAGCATGACAACAATATACAGTGAGAATAATTGATTCATATTTAAAACATAAGCAGTTATTGTACAACATTTTGTGAAATGCATTTATATGTTTTCTTGCTGATAGTCAGATTGATATCACTATCTTGTCTATGTAGTTCATAATCATAATAATAATAATAACAATACATTTGATTTATATAGCACACTTTAAAGACAACGTCATCTCAAGGTGCTTCACAAATCTATAAGGAAAAATAAGTTAAAAGATATATAAAGGAGCATATTGGATAAAATATGGCAATATAAAAAATAAAAGGTTAAGAACATAAAAGGTTTAAAAATAAATAAATAAAGTAAAGGGCAGTCAGTAAAATGCGGTGTGGAACAGGTGGGTATTGAGGCATTTCCTAAAAACTGAGAGTGATGCCGAGGTCCGTACTCTGGAAGCTGATTCCACAGACGTGGACCCAGGGAGGAGAAAGCACGGTTTCCCATGGTGACCAGTTTTGTCCGCGGAACAGCCAGGAGATTGGAGCTGTCTGACCTGAGTGTGCGTGAGGTATGGGAATGTTTTCTGGTTAGCAGTTCCTGTTGGTAGGTGGGGCCAGTGTGGCTGATGGAGTTGAAGACCATTATGAGGGCTTTGTAGTTGATCCGGTGTGTTACAGGGAGCCAGTGGAGTGAGTGAAGGATGGGGGTGATGTGCTCTGATTTGCGTGTTTTTGTGAGTATCCGGGCGGCACAGTTTTGTACATGTTGTAGTCTCCGAGTGGTTTCTGCTGGAATGCCTGCATAAACATCTAAAGGACGGCACTAACCTGTTAGCTTTTAAATATGAGAATGTGTTGTTATTTCTCATTTCTATATAGTGTACATTGAATAATTTGGTGTTTTCTTTAATGCTTGGTCAAATAAAACAAAACTAATTTGAGAATACTGTTATTTGTGACATTTTTACACATTTTTAGAAACTAACCAATAATAAAATATGCAAAAGATGACTGGATTGCACAAAAATGGGAATAATCATTAGTTTCAGCCATTCGTTGGACCAAGATGAATGCAAACTTTGTAGTTTAGATCAATTATATATTTTATAAGTCAGCTAATGCATTTTCCATATCAGAAGTGCATACAAACTAACATATATCTAGTTTTACAGCAGCAGTGTCTGTATAGTGGTATCTGTTATGTAAAGCGTGTGTGGTTTGTGGTAAATGGGCTGAAACATTGAAAACCACAGGACTGTTCCTCTAAGATACGATTATCTCAGTGACTTTACCTTCTCGCTGCTGCAGCTGCTGCAGCTGCTGCGGTTGCTGCGGCTGCTGGGCCAACAGGGTGGGCTGGTGGGGGAACGGCTGTCCCACCAGGCTGTAGGCAGCGGGGTAGGTGGCTGATGGGAGGAGGAACAGGTGAGCAGAGAACAGAGGAGAGGAGAGGCAGGAGAGACACCGCACACTAATCACTTTTTCCTCAAAACAACATCTGACAGAGCCAGGGGCGGATCTAGACCAATATTCATGAGGTGGCAAGAGGGTGGCAGGAGAATTTCAGGGGTGGCATCCCCTGGCAGAAGTATATGCTGATGTAATCGCAGTCATATCAATTAATGTTAACTTGGAAAGCCACAATATTTATTTTAACTCAATAACATTAGGTGACATTATTGTGGCACATCAGTAAAGCCTTACATATAAATATATGGTGGCAGACATCATTTAATGAATTTTAACTGAACAATAACTGAATGAGTTGGTTTCACTCTTAGACCAGCAGGGGTACCAAATATATGCAGACTGCTGCAATAAGTACATTAATTAACTGTCTCATCGATGTGTGTCTGTATGAATATGATAATATTAACAATCATATAATTCCTATCAGCTGTCAATCCCTTTTATGATTCACATATTCAGTGTTATTATTAAATAAACTATATTTTCTGGAGGAGATAATGATGAATGTTCCTCAAGATGCTTGCTCACCCTCCTTCAAATTTGAAAGACAAGTAATTACTATCATAAATCAAAGGAACAGTTCAGCACCCCACAACTTCATTGCAAACAGTTACAACCTTGACTTTACATCAGAAAGAACAAACATTAAAGAAGTGACTAACTGCATCAGTTAGGGTTACAAAACATGTATTCAGCTAAAACATATACATCACTGCAGTTATTATCCAGTGGAAAGTCCTTTTGATTCAATTCTGAGTACAGCCTGAAGAACATATCGAGGATTAAAAAACTAATGTCACAACAGGACTTATAAAAAGCTTGTCCATGCTTTTATCTTTAGTAGACTCGACTACTGCAATAGTGTATTCACAGGGCTGACAAAAAAATCCATCAGAAAGCTGCAGCTGATTCAGAACGCTGCTGCACGACTCACTAACATTAAAAGAGTGGATCACATCAGTCCGGTTCTGAAATCTTTACATTGGCTTCCAGTCGGCCAAAGAATTGATTTTAAAGTACTATTGCTAGTTTTTAAATCATTACATGGTTTAGGACCAAAGTATATTGTTGAACTCCTACATAATTACGAGCCATCAAGGTGCCTCAGGTCTTCTGGGACGGGTAACAACAAAACATGGAGAGGCAGAGTGTCGGGGCATAATAGCTAAATGTAGCTATTATCCCCCGACACTCTGGAACAAACTACCTAAATCATGCACGTCCGCAGAAACGCTTACTATTTTTAAATCGAGACTAAAAACACATCTCTTTGGCTGCTTTTAATTGAGCTGCATTCACACTACAGTATGCCTTTTAAACATGTATTGTATACCTGTGGTGTTTATTTTAATTATTTTATTATCTTTGCTTTGTAATGCCTGTTGTAAAATGCCATTATATATGTGTTTTTACTGTATGTAGCCTATTCCTAAAAAGTCTTTTAATTTGTTTTGTAAAGCACTTTGAATTGTCGCGTACAGAAAAGTGCTATATAAATAAGCTTGCCTTGCCTTACAGCCAAACTTGACAGGCTCTTCTCTGTCATTGTAGACTGCAAATACCTCATTCCTTGCGTCTACTTGGATCCGAAATGCTTCTCGTTTTGCGCTGTCCCCCTGTTCAAATGAAATCGCCGCCAATCATATTTCCAGGCTCGCGCCAGGGCCGGGGGAGGGGTTACAAGGCTTGCGTATTGTGCTAAATTCACTTGCACTCGGACATTAGAGATTTTCTCTCATAAATGTCCGATGAGCCACAACTTTTCTTTCAAAACAAAGCTGCCAACTGGGGTGGCAGCTGGGGTGGCAAGGCATTTTTCTGAGGTGGCAGCTGCCACCCCGTGCCACCCTGTAGAACCGCCACTGGACAGAGCTGCATTCCCACCTACTGGTCTGCTAAAACCGGGAGAAGCTTTGCATTTATTTTGTGGTGTGTGACTCATTCCATAGAGCTGCGAGTTTAAACTGTGTAATATATGTGCATGTTTTTACTGTGGATGTACATTTGTACTTTACATATGCAGTGTTGTTAAGTCGAGAGTATAAAGGTAATGTAGCTGCATCCCATTATGTTACATAACAATGTTTAGCATTCTGGTCACATGGAACTTGGAGGTTGTTTTTCATTAAGTAACCACAGGAGAAACATGCGTGGTAACAAATATGTACACAACATCACTCAAAATGTCCCTCTCTTTAGTTAATGGCTCTCTTGGTGTATATATAAAGGGTTTTATAAGCAGACAATTTGTCCCATTTACTATAAATTCAGATTTTTGAATTCTCAATGAGTATTTCTTATTCAAATACCTCTAACAAAACCAATCATCACTCCACATTTAGCAGTCTCTTATCAGATTGCCTAGATATAACACCAGAAATGTATTTGGTAATTCACAACCCAATGTTGCTTTCACACATCCACCCAGTGTTTTCTAATATTTAGTGTTGTCTGCATTTTTCTCTGCACACTTCAAGTCTCCAGCATGTCTGTTGTGTAGATGAAAATGTACTTGAAGTCGTGGATTAAAAACAAAGCTGAAGGTCATTTCTAAGAACTAAAACCAAAAAGGATGGAGTGGTCAAATTTGATGTATTACATATATTTTCTTGTGTTTCCACTTGACGCGGTTTATGCAGCTTTCTTTTGTGTGGCAGCAGTTCGACAAGTATAAAGCATCACGTGTCACTACCTATCTGGGACACATGTTTCCCAGAGTGACAGTGAGGCTCACCTGTGTAGTGCTGCATGCCGGTGTAAGCTTGCTGCATAGGGTCCAGCACCGGACTCTGAGCTGTGGCAGAAAAAAAACACATCATCACCAGCTGCTTTATGCACACAACAAAATAATCCTGAATGCTATGTGGGGCACATCAGCATGCTCCAGATAACAATTAGAGCTTCAAATAACATTTAGTGCTTAAATTAAATGTCCTCTTGATTAGATCCTTGTGGGTGCACAACAGTAAGCCTGTGAATCTGTGGAGGAAGACTACATGTTAGTCTTTACTCTCTGCTGTGAAGGATGTGGTGGCTCTACCTTGGTAAGCATGGACCCCGTTGGTGTACAGGGCTTCAGTTGCTGAATGGCCGTTGGGTGGAGCTGGCAAAGAGGCGTAGCTGTTCACGGTGAGGGGGGGAGGCAGAGCAGGAACCGGTGTGCCGGCCATGGAGGGTGGAGTGCTGGCACCTGCAGACATGTCAGCCATTTATTTTTATCCTAACAAAAACTCTACGGCATTAAAGCAGTATTTAAAGCATGACCTAGAGGAGATAAGGACGAGTGAATTATTAAACTTCCCAATCAACATGAAACTACTTGATTTCCATTTTGGATGATTTATTCTTTTAGTCTGGAAGGGGCCTTTGAATAAAAGCACTGAACAAATGAAAGGAGATCAAATAGAATAGCCTGTGTGGGATTTGGTAAAAATTACAGTTTAGAGATATAGTTGTCATGGGGATCAACTAATAAATACCTTAATCTTAGTCAAGGGTATGCCAAACAGCAATTTAAGGCTTCCTTTGTTCAATTGTTGGATGAGTTGAAATAAAATAATCATAAACAATTAGCCATCCTGGCATTGAGCAATTTTTTGAAAGTAATCTAAGGGAGGTTGAGGCGGTGCCTTTTCTCAAGCCCTATGAAAAATACCCATATGAAATTATACATAGAATGTTTACATATAAATAACAACAATGTGCTCCAACAAGAGCTCACAGCCAGGCGAGCAGCTTTGTCACGCAGGCTGCCCTTTGGCACAGCGGTAATTTGAGCTACATGCTAGCATCAGCATACTAAATACTCACAATGACAATGCTAATCTGCTGATGTTACAGGGACCCTGTGGAGTGAGTGACCTATAGTAGTGCTATGGAGCATTTCGTTTTTTAATGATGCACGCAAGGGATAAACACTCCTGTCAACAGTTTCACAATATTCCCCTGATCTACAGGTGGCAGTAATGCACAAAGACACACAGAAAATGAGTTGCTACAACTCAACACAGTGACCATTATCACAACTGCTGATGAGCAATAAACACAAATTACAGCTAAGGCTGACCCTATTTGCTGGTATTTGGTCATGGCACGAGATTAATTAGCTTAGGGATCACCAAAGTTATTACAGGTCATCCTAGGGGGGACATTAATGTCTGGACATTGCTGTTTACAGTTTAATTAGTTTAAAGTTGCTGTTTATGTCAATTTTATATTATTCTAAATCGAGGAGTGAGGGGTTGTTTTTCAAACTCAACAGACCAAGGACTTTCAGGACTCAGGTACTAAAGCTATGTTCATACTGCAGGCAAAATTGGCCATTGGGTCACTTTCATACTTTCGTTGAAAATAAACTATATCTTATACAGGTCTGATTATTGCAATGTGACCTCACTGAATAGTGATATCTGATTAATGGATGTATTATAAGACCAGGATACGTCACCGCCACTCAGTTTATTTACTTACTTTGTGACATTGGAGACAAAATCCCTTCGCAGCACGAAAGGTATTTTTCCCATAGACCCCCATATAAAGAGGCATCTGTAAAACTGGGAACAGGACACCTTGAACTACAACAAGGCACACTTTGATTGTTTCTATTTTGAATTTACGATTTGTTAAAGTGATTGAAAAATCAGTGATTCATCACTTTATGAAGCCTGTTGACCTCGAAGGAGGAACACTGCTGAGCATATTCATATTGTGATATTATTTAATACAAAATGTTCAGATGAATTGAGCACTAATGCTTTCAGGATGGAAGTAGCCTGACTCACTCACAATTTCATGTCTTTTCTGAAAGATAACATATTGACAGATTGAGAAAGAAACTACGAAATAGATGTTTGTTATTTTGTCCTTTGAGGTCCACCTCTCCTTGTGTATCTGTCCTCATATTTCAAGAGGAAATCTAATCAGGGGCCGGCCGGGGCCAGACGTCTCTGCCTCTCATTACCTGAGGAGGGGGTGATGGATGAGATCGGCGTGGCGATGATGCTGTTGGGGTTGAGGGCGGCGAGCTGCTGCATCTGAACCGCCGCCACCGTGGCAACAGGAGAGAGGTAGGCCGACTGAGCCACCAGGGCCTGCTGCTGCATCAACTGGAGGAGGGAGAGGGGGGAGGGTGATTGATAGGAGGGGAGAGAGGGAGTCTGGATATTCTGTATTTAGAAAAGAGCAAAGATTATGTTTAGAGGGATCTGTTTTTAAGACTGTGAGTGTTCCCTGAATGTAACCTCAGGCTTGTAAAATAGAGAAACAACACCAGGAGACTTTAACCTTAACTTTATATAAAGACATTTCTATTATTTGATCTTGTTTTGACCCATATACACCTTTTATTTTACGTCATTCTAAAATGGAGCAAACGGAATTTCCCCCACGATAAAGTTATTCAAATATGGTAAACATGCACCAAATTGTGAAAAGGCTCAACATCCAACATTAAGTCATTGATTTTAGATAAGTGAACACTCCTGCATTTACATTATATGGCAAATTATATCGTAGAAAACACAATATATGTCATGCAGCACTAAGACCGACACATATTTTTCAGATTTCCATTGTGAACTAATCATAAACATTAAGCATGTTTATATAATAGCAATGCCTCATGTCTCAGCCTGAAACAGGAGGAAATTTGAAAGACACGTCTCTGCACGCTGCAACTTCACACACACAGACAAACTGTCCTCGCTCTGTTTTTGCAGACCTGTTCCATGACCTTTATAATCAGTGATTGTGGCCAAATCTATTTATAATTGGTTTTAACATAATGTAGTGTGCTCTGTGTCCAGGCTGTAAGGGGGGACATGATTATATTAAATCCTGCCTGTTTTAACTTTACCTGCACTTTTTTCAGAAATCTATTTTATGTTTTAGTTTAACGTTTTACTAAAGAGTAGAATGACACTCACTGCTGTAAATTAACACATCCATTAAAGATATTGTCAGGCCTCTTTAAGTATCACAGAGTAAACAGCTGTAAATGAGCCAAATCTGGAACCATTTGCAGTAAACGGTCAATTAACAACAAGAGACGTAATGTGGCTTTACATTTTAAATTGCAATTCTTCCAGTTAAACATCAACTTTAATGATATTCAAACTCTTTTATTAAATCTCATGGAACAAGCTGAGTAAGGTTAGCTAGACTGATCATTGAGCAGATTTCAAGACAAATATTTATTTCCTTTTCGGTCACATCAGCTTTTACTGCAGTGCTTCTGCTTAGGTAAAATAGAAAAGATTATATCTTCATATATCGCTCTAAAGCTCAGTAAAGTAAGAGTAAATAAGTTAAAATAAAGATAATTGTATTCTTTTTTCGCACAGCACACTTTATTTTGTCTCCAAAAAATAAACTCCATAACTCCATAGGCACAATAAATATAAACATAAACTATACTCCGTATTTCATTTAGTTATAATAGTTTCTAAAATGATATTGACCTTTTAGCAACATTGTTAGGTCAAAAGAAGTAGAGTTTGTGTTTTCTTAAGAATTGTGTCTTTAATGCATTTGTGTGCGTCTGTGTGTGTAACTCACGGCCTGTGTGTAGGCGTTGTAGGCCCCGAGGTGCAGGGTCATGGGGCTGATGACCCCCAGCTGAGAGGCCACCTGCTGCATCCGCCGCAGCCCTCGCTCCTTCTCTGAATCAGCAAACTTCACCACCAGGCTGGACGAGGCACCCTGCGGGGGAAATGGGAATTAAAAACGCTTCAACATAACTCTCGTTGTTTCAGAATCCGAGATCATTTAATCACAACGTCCCTGGTTTAAGTTGACCATTTGTCATTGTTTTCCTTTCTTTATCAATTCTGAACTGTCTTCAAAATAAACAAATACACCTAAAATTGTATGAATATATACACTATGTGTATATATATATACCATTGCAGGTAATGGTAAGAAAACATTATGTCATAACAAATGCCATACTCGAGAGCCTTGAAACCGCATTTTCCATGAAAAATTACTTTAATGATTTATTGAGTTTCAATATAGTTTTAGATGAATTTTCTTTTTTGATGTTCTGATGAGTCGACTCCTTATCGCAGCAGTCTAATTTAGGCAACCTGCACCACAACTATAGACTGTATATTTATAAAACACACTGACCTACAGCAGAAAAAACAAAACCTGATTTCAAACAGATTTGTCCTCTATGGCGTGTTTGTAGGAGGGGGACAGAAAGGAGAAGTGGTGACTATCAGCTGAGTCACCACGTTGAGTGGCCGTATGACTGGATTTGGAGCATCTAAAAGTGTGTACTGTATTTGAGTATGGGTGTGACCACGTGTTTCTTTGTGTGTGTGTGTGTGTGTGTGTGTGTGTGTGTGTGTGTGTGTGTGTGTGTGTGTGTGTGTGTGTGTGTGTGTGTGTGGGACTCACTGGTAAAGTACGACTCCCATGCAGAGTGTTGATGGCGGCCTGGGCCTCTGCGTTGCTCTGGTACTTTACAAATGCACACCCTACATGAAATGACACACCATTAAACATGGCCTCACACAGACAGACTGACACACGCGCACACACACACACACACACACACACACACACACACACACACACACACACACACACACACACACACACACACACACACACACACACACACACACACACACACACACACACACACACACACACACACACACACACACACACACACCACACACACACACACACACACACACACACACACACACACACACACACACACACACACACACAGTATACAGAAACTACTTCCCTTTAAAAATACATTAGGAGCCGTCTTACATCCAGCGCTTCATCAGTTACCGTGGCATCATTAAACATGGTCCACAAAACATTCATTGCTTCATCAATCACAGTCCGTAAACCACCAAACGGATCATTAGCCATGACCCATAAAACCTATTGCACCATTAGTCATGCCTCAAGCAACAAACGCAGAAAAATATAGCATCTGTAGCAACTGTCGCTGGACTTTGATTTACATGGCAAGTATCATTAGCTTTGTTGTTAGTGACATTATTAATTTGCATTCACAGGACTGGGAATGTGCTGAAGGCTTAATTCTCAGGGCTGGATACACATACAAACACAGAGTCAATATAGTGAAGAGTTCAAGTGTTGGTAAATAGTGGATGATAAAGCTTTTAAAAACCGATTTGAATCACTCTGGCTAATTTGAATAAGATTTGAATACAAATATAAAATGTCTATAATATGTAATGTCTTACTTTTACATAAGCCTATATTTTAACAGAGGCAAAGCAATCTTTAATGTTTTCATAGATATAAATATATTATTCTAAATGTTAGCGTTTTATCACTTCATTTTCCCATACCCATTATTTGTGTTTTATGTTTGTTTTGATCGTTTACAGGGATTTCACAGTTTAAGACAAGTTAGAATAAAGACGTATTCAATGCCATTTCTGATTCAATTCAAGACAAGAGTAACAATAACAAAAATTGAAGTAAAAAACATGTCAATTAGGGACACATTTGGCAGAATTTGTATTGTGTTATAAAACAGGACTTATTTTACTGTACTGTTTGTGTACTCCACATTTTGACGAGAATGCGACACTAGAGCAGAACATCCAAATTATGAGCGATGTCGGTTCTGCTATCCTGATATGCAGGAGGCCTTCGTTGAAATATATATTTAAAAAAAGTCAATAATATTAAGGCTTTAAATATCAGTGTCAGAAAAAGGAATTCATAAAATACTACTATTTTATTTTAAAGCATTTTCAAGATATTGAAAGATAGATTAAATACATTTTTAATACATTTGAATACTGAGTTTTTTAAAGATTCTTTAGGAACTTTGTATTTTGTGTTTCTGCATGTCCACAACCCTCAGCCAGGAGGTTACCTTTGCTGGTGCCGTCCGGCCCGCGGAGCACCGTGCACTCCTCTATGCTGCCGAACGGCTCAAACATCTTCTTCACATCGGTGTCCGTCTGCTGCTTTCCCAGCATGCCCACAAACAGCTTCCTGTCTTCTAAGGGGAAGGAGATCGCAGAGATGGGAGAGAGAAAAGAGGAAAATGTGCGGATAATGTGAGTGTGGTTACAGAGGGCAGAAGTGGAAGCAGATGTGTTATGGGAGAGGTGAGGCAGGCAGTGAGAAAGGGAGAGGAGCCATGTCACCTTACATGAATAATAAAGGACAACAGTGTGATAACGGCTACAAAGCAGGAGGGATCCGCCTGCTATGCTTCTCAGCGCCACCAGGGTGCAGTCACATGAACATCACAGAGAGCAAACGGCATCTGGCCATGACTCAAATGTTTGTCACCCTCTGTGTTGTCAGAGAAGCTGCTCCGTCTGTGAAGGATCAGACCAGCCTTTCTGCACGTTTTTGCACATTTACTACAAATCACAGGCACGTTGCAGAGCACACAATCCTGAAAAGCATGCCAGGTTTTATAGGTCACAACCTTTCTTTTTCTCTAAAAGCACGTTGCCTTTTCTTTCCAATGAATATCAACTGTCTGTCACAAGACCTAAAGCTTGAGGCACAGAATCAGTCATGAGCATGTCGTGGTCTGTTGTTTTATTACATTATTACATGAGATTCTGGTTGAAAACGTAATTTGATTAGTAAAATGAGCCTGTATGGTGCGTCATTGTGCTGGTTTTGAGAGCTAGCTGCCTTGAAGCATTATATTTACAAGCTGTATTTAAAAAATAAATATTTGTTCAGTCCTTTCTCTTGTAAAACATTGCCGACATGTAAGTCTAAAGCAACAAATAAAACCGACCATTATGCGATAACTGTGATGGATTACCTATATAGCTAAATTCAAGTATCTGCAAGCTCACTATCATACAATAGTGAAATTAAAGGGAACCAAAGTCCTCTTAAAAGTATGTTTCTCAGAATAATAAACCACAAACAAAGGTGAATGTTGAATAGTGTTGTGTTCAATAGGCCTTTCTCGCGGCAGGCATTTTGAATGGTCATACTAGGAAAAACTCAGGTGTTACTAATAACATTAACAATGGCTCTGTTCTATTCAATTATCTGAGGCAGACATCATGCACTATTATTTACACCTGTGCTTTTTCTCCTGTGTGATGGAGTGCCTGCTGTGACCCATGTTTTCAAATGGATTGGTTTAGCTTGCTGAAACCAAAGCTGCCATTAAACAATGGTATGCTATTATGTTGTTGTTTTAACTGAGAAAATACACAAACATGTGAGGCTTTAAGCCTTTTGAAACAGTTCAAATGTATAACAGTGTGCTCACAAATGTTGAAATAGATTAGGAAATGAAATGTGATTAGGGGACTGATTGATTGGGGAAGAAGGACCTTCATTGGTTTTTATCAAGTCAGATGCAGCAGTGTCTCACACTTGTTGCAATTTAAACATGCAGCTTTGAAGCTGTTGAGATTGTGCACAGTGTGTAATGTATAAGTGTAGTTTGACCCCAACAAAATATTTATTTTAACAGGAAATTGAATCTGTAAGTGGATATTGAATCACTTGAATCGTTGTTGTTGTTGTTGTTGTTGTTGTTGTTGTTGTTGTTGTTGTTGTTGTTGTTGTAGTGCATATGCAATTGGTTGTTGGTAATAAAATCCTTGATCAACAACTGATATTGTCTTTTTAATATGTTGTCACACTATTAAGAGCTCCTCTAAAAATTAATAAAGCTGACTTTTTGCCACAAAAAAATTGTGAATTGAAGACTAAAAGTACTTATAATGATAGACATTGTTTGTTGTGTACAGGGTAGGGGTGTTTCAGCAGGAGGACAGGTGTTTCTTACCCCCTCTGCTCTCGCTGTCTGCAGGCTTCACTTGGATTGGGCGGTTCATCTGTAAAGACAGAGGTCATGTGGCTCTGTCAGTTTTAATACAGGAAAAAGGTAGTGATTATTGACACAAGAAAACATGAAGGATAAGAGAAACCTAAATAACGATGTGGCCACTACTGGCATGTAAAGTGCCGGATGACATCCATGTAACCCATGTAGAATAGCTATTTAATATGACGTGATGCGTGTATGTATACATGTTAGTGAATTTGAACAGAGCTCCAGCCTTCTGCGATCCCTCATTAATTTGTTTCCAGCTCTACTCCAGCAGCTGACGGCTGACACCAGTGTGTGATGTTACACTCACAGCGTCACACAGTCTCTCTCTCTCAGAGTCTTTCTCAGAATCTGCTCTAATCCTGCCGTCTATCGTTCCCTCTCCCCCTATCACACAGAACCAGGAAAAGCACACACCCACGCAGGATTGGGGAAGTGATAAGATTAAGAACACTCGCCAGCTAATCTGGATTACAGGAGAACGCAGCATCAGAATAGCGAAAGACTCTGAGCCTCACAGAGAGACAGAGATCGGGGTTAGAAATGAAAGAATAAAATGTGGGGGGAAAAACAAAGAATGAAAGAATGACAACGAAAAAAAGGGGACACACACGACGCAGGGGGGGATTAGGTGACCTTTTCATAATTCATCAAAAGACAAGCTGCTGAAATGCCATCTCGTTCTCTATGTTACTCCACAATTATTATCCTTCCCTCTTTTGGGAATTGTGCGCACATCAGTGCTTCAACGTATGAATGTATAGAACAGGGTGAAAATAGGTATTGAGTGAAATAAAGAAAAGAGCGAACAAGAGGGGGCCAAAGAGAGAAAGATGGGTGGGATTGAGAGGAAGGGAAGGAGCATATGGTGGGGGATGTGTGTGGATGGGAGGAGGAGGAGGAGGAGGAGGAGGGAGGGTGATGTCGGTGAGGAGTTGGGGTGAGAGCAACTGAGTGACACTCTGTTAACTCTAGCTTAATGAAGGTCTTAATTATGGAGCTGGTGACATTTCAGCCAGTCACTGATCCTGTGTCACTGATTGATCCGCGGTGATCGGTCACCAGGAGACACTATCGATCCTCGCCACGGTCGCGCCCCGCCGCCGGGACCCGAATGCACAAACATCGTGACCGCCCCCGTCCCAAACACCGGCTGAAATACCACCTGCTGCTGAGGCCCCTCCACCGAGAGCCTCCAATTGATCGCACCAATTAAGAGGATGATAGAGAACGAGGAGGAGCAAATCTCAAAACCATCCTCCAATCATTCGAATTACTGTGGGCGCCCGCTCCTCGTTTAGTTAAGAGTCAATTTGATCAAATTGTAGTTTAATTTGCACTCAAGATATCTTTCTTTCCCAACATGCTTATGAACTTTTCAATATTATTATAACAATATGGCTTATGTTATTATAAATGATAAATGTTCTGTTCTCTCTTTTGCTGCCTATTGAAATACAGTTTGTAATCGCATCTTTAAGATTTACTGTAAATATAGATATATAACATATTCTTACTTTTCTCTTGCATTGTTTGAATCTCTTTCTGTATTATTTAATCAGGCCAACTCTTGGCCACATTTATTGAAATCATTTGATCCTCTTCATTTAAAGCTGCGTTACATGTCTTATGGGAAAAATGTTGAACTGAGTGTATTTTTTAAATATAAAGCTTTTTCACAGGTTAATATGTACACCTTCACATTATTGAGAAATAAATAATATGACTATTTTTTTAAATGTGTAAAAAAATGAATTTCAACTGGTGCATCTTTCTATCCTGCTAACAGCTATCAGAAACATAAGGTCATTTAGATAGCTGAAGTTTGACAGTGCTGTAAATTGAAGTGCTGGTAAATTACAGAATAATAATTCTTTAGAGGAAAATCTTGAAGGCTGCTTACAGCTGAACGCTTCAAACTGAACTGTTGCTTTCACAATGATGTGTAGGAGGTCACTCTTTCAGTCTCGTTAAATAGGTGGGGAGGGCGAAGAGAGTCAAAGCCGGTTTCATTGACTTGACCTGAATTGTTTCTGTGGTGGCGACATGTGAATTTAACACCATACTTACCACCACCACCATCACGTCATGCCATGTGATTACAACACACCCTAGGAGTGTGAGTCATATGTAAGGACAACATGGGATCACGTTATTCTCTGCTTTGGGCGCCATTACTCCACCATATCCCTACAGCACATGTCTGTTTTCTGCTCACTTCAAAATCACACATACAGCTGCATTAAGGAATGATGCTAAGACCTGATGGCAGTCCTTAAATGTGATGTCTTTGATGGATAGCATGTTTAAATGATGTTGGTAGGAAATGCTGTGGCCCATATTGCAGTGCAGGAAGACAAACAGAGATAAGGAGAGGCGCAGCAGATGGCTCAGGAGACGGGAATTATAATCTACAAGAGGGAAAACAGTGAGAAGTGGAGGCCATCGAGGCTGAGCCACTCCAGATCGGCACGGCAACCAGGCCCCACTTCTCTGACGGAGACCGCACTCGCATGGCCATCGTCATGACAACCCCGGTGATCAGAAGAACCCTACATCAGGTAAACAAGGTTGTCCTGAATGACGTGCGGAGAGAGACCGGCGAAAAACAAATGAGGAGGACAAAGGGTGCTTCTAGGTCGAGAGATAGAGGGATTAGATGTGAGAGGGAGGGAGGGAGACAAGGAGGAGAGGAAAAATGAAAGACACCGAACAGAAAAAGAAAGAAAAGGATGACGGAGGGAGCGCTCGAGCCTGTTGCATGTTGGCGCTGCCTCGACAGCAGAGGCAGAAGCAGGGAGAAACATATCTGCCTTTAAGCCTAAACCACTAACGTACACTTTACAGTAATTTCCTCTCACTCCCCTCCTCCCCTCCTCCCCCTGTTGCTCCCCCCTCCTTCCCTTTCTCTCTTAGGCTTCTTTACAAAAACGGTCCCACACTGTGCACAGGCAAAAACATGCCTGATCAACAACCACATTTTACCTGTCTGTTTTTGCTTTTTGATTTGCTTCCCCCCTCTAAACACACAGATATTATATACAATCATCCTCCGACTAAACACACATTCATTGCTCCCACTGTCTGCTCCTGTCGCTCACAGCAACATCTACACACATTAATCTTTTTTCGCTCTGTGATGCCGCAGGGGATTTTGCTAGGATTATGAGATATTAAATCCATAGATTATCCAATCAAATCACAGCTCGACCCCTTTGCCATTATGAATGATCCCCAATAACGTCCAGAGGCACCAGGGAGTGGCTCGCTCCCATGTAAATGCATCTGTGTTTTGTGTAGAGAGGATTGTTTACATTTGGAGTGAGTAAAGCATATTGATGATGATGTTTTTCTCTATTACGACCAGCGGAGCAGATGATAATCTCGTGCCTCTCAGCTCAACGCAGCCACGTGTCGTTAAGTCTAAAGCACGCTTCTGTAAAAAGGGTGACACATTTTCTGTTGCCTGTTTTTCTCTTGAATTTCCGATCCATTCTGCTGAAAAGCCGCCAAGCTGAATGGTAAATATATCAGCAGAGACCATCTCCCCTGCTCTTTCAAGAAACATTTACAGCGGGGAGTTGGAGGCGAGGAGATGGGGAGGGAGAGAGGGGGGGGTGCACAAAGACAATTTTCCGTCTTTGCCTCCCCTCCGCTCCATCACACAGCACTGGTCATTGCATCGTGCCGGTCGCCTAGCAACCTGGCATCCCTCGTCCCGGCCGTCTCCAGGCAACGAGACCTGCGACCGTAATCAACCTGCCACCTCCCTCCTCCCCCCGCCCCTCCCCTCCCTGCTCCTCTCTCGTCTCTGCTGCTTTTTTTTCTTTCTCCCTCGCTACTCCATCCACCTCCTCAGCGCAAATGCACTTATACGCTGGGACGCACTTATGAATTCACCCGAGGGAAAGGAGCGTGCACAGGTGGAAATTGGTATATCAAAAGGCGGAAAAAAAGAAGGGAACAAAAAAACGGACAACAAAGAGTTGTAGCAAAGCGAGAGAGGCAGGGATACAAATACAAATGAAAATCTGAGTCTGTTAATGTGTCAAGGCAAGCAGAGAGAAAGTCTACCTTCTCTTAAATACAGCCAGGCACTAAATCAATCAAACACAAAGAGACTGACAGCACAACGCTTGTACAGTTCAATAATATTGAATCAATGATCCAGTCTTCAGTGTCAAAGCTGCTCCCCGGCGCTGACTCCTCTCCTTCTACAGGCTTCACTAGTGTGTCCAGCATCAGGGCAAAGCTGACAGCTCTGGAAGCTGACATTCAGCCTTTTTTTCGTCAGACAGCCAACAAAAAACCATTCAAAGGAGAGACTGAATATCAAAGAGTACATTTCTAAAAACACCAAAGTTGCCTCTCAATTGTTTTGTCTCTTCTGACTGTTAAATATTCATGTCAAATGTTGTTTGACTCGAATCAGTGGAGCAGAAGGGGAAAAGAACGGAATCACGGCAGACAGATTTCTGTGTGTGTGTGTGTGTGTGTGTGGGAGGGGGGTGTGTGCATGTGTTTGTGTACAGATAGGGTCCATGTCCTACTTTTTTAATTCGGGCATGGTTTACACTGTAACTCCGCCGTAGTCCAGCGTATATGTAGTTCAAAGAGATGAGTTTTGTGACATCAGACACTTCTGTGTGTGTTTGCCTACCACGCATGCATGCACACACACACACACACACACACACACACACACACACACACACACACACACACACCCCCCAAAACACACTATTTCTCAGTAACAGATGTCTGTATTTAAGCTGATAAACACACTGCCTCAATGCACCTCAAACCCCCTCCACGCTTACTGCCACCCACTGTTCATTATCTCAAACTTTCATTCATCTCTTCCTCCCCTCCCCCCACCCTCTCTTATTTTCCCCCCCACCTATCCATCCCTCCCTCCTTCATTTATCCAATTTCTCTCTAATTCACACCCATTTACCACCTCTATAAATCCAATCTGCATTCATCATTAAAGTTGCCCCAGAGTGACGTACAGAGGACGGGCCCTTTTGTTGTTGTCAGTCAGCGCCGCCTGTCCTGCATCGTGCCCCCCCGCGCATTGATATGCATGCATATGTAAATGATTGGACGCATGAATGCACACTTAACTCCAGATAGATTCATCACGTGAACACATTCGCTCCGAGGCACACTAATTGCTATCATCATCATCACGGCCGTAACTCACTGACATCAGGACGGAGCTACATATGGAGCCAGTGCTTTATCTGCTTGTTGTCAGATACATGAAGTAACATGCTCGTGTTCACATCATCACAGCATGTTTAAGGTCCTTAGTGAACCTTAGTGCGTCTACTTTGTGGTTGTTTGCCTAGTCACACATGAAATGTCATTTATCTGAAAAGAAAGAATGAATAAACGATTACGGTTGTATAAGAGACATAACCATGCAACTGTTCATGCCAGAGAACGTTTGCTCACATTAAGGCCACAGTGTTCTGGCACTACAACTTCCCATCTCATATCCTGCGTACAAAGCCTGGGCTATACTTAGCATATGCATTTATTTCAGACTATTGATAAAACCCCTCTGTCTGCTCCGTCTGAGTCCTTATGGCTGAGTAAATGTCAGGCTTAGTCAGATGTTCCACTCAAAGAGGGCTCTTTCCTCTCGTACGGGCAGCTTAAACACAGAAGGCCTTGCAGCTCAGGTTTTACTCACACACACACACACACACACACACACACACACACACACACACACACACACACACACACACACACACACACACACACACACACACACACACACACACACACACACACACACACACACACACACACACACACACACACACACACACACACACACACACACACACACACACACACACACACACACACACACACACACACACACACACACACACACACACACACACACACACACACACACACACACACACACACACACACACACACACACAGGTCAGATAATGAATGAAGAAACCTGAGAGCAGCCTATAATAAACCCAACAACTTCCATCCATCCATATCTTTACGGATGTGTACTCTCCATGGAAACAAATGCACACAAAAGCAAACAGACATTTACACACAGCCGCGCACAAAAGCACACACACCCTTCATTAAACCGTGTTAGTGCGAACACCTGCCCTCCCTTCCCCCACTGAACATGCAAATACACACCAAACAGCTACTTTCTCACTCGGGCACAGTCACACTATTAAATACTTATTGTGTTTAAAATGTAACGGGGAGGCATTGTCGCAAATATTAATTCAAGTGGTGTTGATGAAGGGCGAAATATTGTGTATTGCAACACAGTCTCACGGCATTTCGTGTTATAGTCACGAGATGAATCTATTGATTCGTGTTCACCAACAGGATTTCCCCATTTTTTTCGTGTCACACAGAACGATTTTAAAAGCTCTGTAAATAATAACAAATTAGAAGGAAAAAGAGATTTTAAAAAAGTCAGTATTCTGACACAGAACGATTTTAGAAGCAATGTATTTCTATTGGTAGTATGTTTCGTGCCTGCGCCAAATAATAACAAATTAGAAGGAAAAAAAGATTAAAAGAAATACAGATTTCAGTATTCTGAGGCTCTGAGCCCCATTTATTTTCCTCGTGGACGGCAAAAAAACTCCGACATTATAGTGTTTAAAATAAAAGGGTTAGGTTTAGGTTTAGGGTAAGATATTGAGTACGAAAATGTTTTTATGAACCACACTGTGAAAATCGTGTTGGTGAACACGAATCAATAGATTCAATTAATTTCGTGACTATAACACGAAATGCCGTGAGACTGGTTTATCTACTGAAGCAGATATGAGCTTTAGGGCTGCAACTGATAATATTTTTCCAAACGGATTAAAGGAGAATTTTGGAAAATATGCTAATTTGCTTTCTTGCCCTGAGTTAGATTGGAAGATGGTTACCTCTTCCATGTGTGTACGCTAAATATAATGCTGCAGCCTGTTAGCTTAGCTAAACACAAAGACTGGAAACAGGGGGAACAGCTAGCCTGGCTCTTAGACAAACAAGATGTTCTAAAAAGATAAATATGTTTAAATATGAGCGTGTTCATTATGAAGCTGTTGAGGTTCTGGTAGGAGTATTTTGCAAAGCTTCCTGTTAACAGTCTTTATGCTAAGCTAGGTTAGCATGCCGCTCGCTGAATATTCAGACAGACAGAGCAGTATCATTATTTGAATCTTTAAGAAATCAAATAAGTAATACTAATAATTCATAAGTGTTTTACTTTTTGTCAAACCGACTGATTATCTCAATTTATGATTTTGCTATCTTAAAATTGTCATCAGTCCAAAAAACTAAATATGTTAAGTGTCATAGCAGACAAAACAGAAGACATTAACTAAAAAAACTGAAACCAATAAAAGATGTTTAACTTGAACACTTAGTACTGATGCATCTTTGTTTAATGCCCTTTAATGGCAATAAGCTGAATGATTTAAGTTATTGATTTGATTTATATTTTGAAATGTACAAAATTGCTTGTAAAATGGCTTCTTTTTAATCTGATATAATGGGATGTTATTGTCTCTACGAGCTCTCGACAGCTGACGCAGAGATAAGGCGATACAAACAGAGGGGACAAGAGTACAAGATGTCCAAGTAGGATTCAACGTGAGTACCTTCGTCCTCCACGTCCTCCACGTCCTCCCTCTGAGTGAATCTGTTTTATTGCTCCGCATTTTTTTCTCTCCCTTTTCCAACTCCACTATTCTCTCACTTTCTTTCGTCGCTTTCAGCTGAATGTGCTTTTGACACTCTTCCTCCCCCTCCCACTTAGGGACGGACTCTCTCACCTGAAATTAAACACAAGGCCAGGTGCCACTCCGAAACAACCATCTGCTCGCCCTGCCTGACTTCCTTCTTTCTTTTTCTTTCTTCCTTCCCATTGTTCACAGAGAGAAGGAAAATCAGTAAAACAGTAAGGATTAAAAAAAAAAAAGCCTTAAGAATGACTCTTAGTTTCCCGAGAGGAGAAATGTGCCGAGTGTTAATGACATCTTTCAGCTTTCTCTTTTATTCAGGTGTGCTTTTTATTCCAGCGTTCTCCCCTCAGTAATAATTGCTTTCATGTTATTTCTTTTGTATCGCTCTGACCACGAGATGCCAAAGTTAATTATTCTTCGCCAGTGCAGGTGCAATTAGATGACAATTACACCACAGCTGGTAGCGAGTCGTTCTTGTGCATGTGGGAGTGTGTGGAGCTAATAATATGGTTTTCGTCTTTTTCTTCTCTCCCTCTTTTGGCATCGGAGGGGGGAGGGCAGGGAAGGATTGAGAGAGCACAGGAGGGTTTAGCTTGTTCCACACGGCTTAGAGGTAAGAGGTTGTGAGGAGGAGAGCCGCAGGGTGGAAACACAGGGGGGACAGGGCTTTAGCCGCGAGACATTGGCCCTCGCTGATCCCATGTGAGAGGTCAGGAAGGTCACGCTACTGTCACGCTAACAATAGGATCTCTTTTGTTGCCACCCCAATACCAGCCTTTTCCCTCAAACAATGTTCTGCTAAGATAATCAATAAGTCAATTTTCGATTTTCGTTCCTGAGTAATCGTTAACTTAGCACGGAAAAATGTGGACTATCATTTTAACTGGCATCTCAAAATATGAGGGTTGATGCTTTATTTTTACTTTAGGGATGATCGATTAATTGTGTTGGTTAGTTATAATGATTTGTTTCCAGCAAACAGCCTAAAACCCATATATAATAAGTTAAGCATCACAAGTGAAATAAAGAAGGCAGCTCACACTGGCATTTTTGCTTTAAAGATACTCAAACGATTAATCAACACAGTTGCAGATACATTTCCTGTGACTAACCAATCTTTCCTTTCTTTATCTGGTTCCTATTTCCAGCTATGTGAATATTTGAATTTTGCTAAATTAATCATCTTTGGGACTGTTCTTAGGTCAAAAACAAACAACTTGACCACTTTACCAAACAGAATGAATAATTAATCGGTACTGAAAATAATCTTAAAATGCAGCCCTACACTGTTCACCTGCTTCTTTCCTCAAAAGACTATGGTCATGATCTGTAATTGGGGCATGGAAAAAAAGAAAAAGAAGTGAATAATTTCAACAAAAATAACCAAAAGGAAACAGGGGGGAAGCCTTGTTAGTAAAAGAGGAAGCAGCAGCGAGTCTGGGAGCACACTCTGTCTCAGTAATTCCTTGCCTTGTCGCCTTGTCTCCCATATAGTCGGTTATTATAGAGACGTGGCTGTCATGTCATATTTAGCTCTGGAAATGTCATTTGGCAGCACACCTGCTGCCTGGCTATGCTAATAAAGCTAGGTTTAACTTTGATTAGAATTCAGAGGGAGAGATGGATGGAAAGAAGTCAGTGGGGGAGGGGGAGGAGGGGGAGAGAGAAAGACGGAGACACAGAAAGGAAGAGAAACATCAGAGAGAATAAGAGCTGGCAAAGTCACTTCAGCAGCGAGCCTGTCTCTTTCGACCCGTGACATGTTGCGAGATGACTCATGCCTCAACTGGATGGATATGTCTGGATGCATCACATATGAAACATAAGAGAGAGAGCAGCCTCTGACCTTTATTGGAGCATATCAGCTAAAGGGGGAAGTCAGGCTTGCATGTCAAACTCGATTAATTTTCTCGTGTCACTGTGGGTCCGTCTGTGTCTGTGTGGTGCGCTCAGATAGCCTAGCATGCCAGTTGTTCTGATTCCCTTTGTGTATAGAAATATAAATATATTTAAACACAATGTGAGGATCTCAAAAAGACACTCACCCCGGGTAGTGTCTTCTGCTCGTGCAGTGCATTCTGGGCTTTGAGGGCGGACTCACGTGCACAATATGTCAGGAAGGCACATCCTGGAAACAAAGACAAAGTGTAAGAAGATCAGAGAGAATAATCCATGTATTTTTTACGTCAGATTCATATGCTATATATATCTAGATTAGGCAGTGCAATGTTATTGTAAGTTAAATCTGAATTGGCCATTCGCCCTGAATGCCTGCAGGCACAAACATGCTGCTGAAGTTTATTGTCCTATTATTAATCTGCCAGTTGATATATGTGCTTTGGATTTATCTTAACAACAGTTCTAGGTCAACATGTGTTTTCGGAAAAAAATCCTCCTTCCTTAAATGAGGCCATCATTATTAAAGATGTATTTAAAGTTGCATGAAACTACATTTAAATAGCAACAAACATTTACATTTGGTAAAGTAGCTCTCCCAGTAGCATTGGAGATCTATGGGATTATTAAATAATAATACCTGGAGACTATTCAGACAAGAGCAGTCCTAATGGTTATTTAATATCATGCTGGTGAGGCCAAATGTATGCAGCACCACATAATAGAGAAAGGCCTTCATTAACCTTTAGGGCTCAGACAAATCATGAATATGTAAATGAATGCAGAATAGGTGTTATAGGTGTAAGAAGGCTCATAGCACCTGGCCTATACGTCTCCCAAATGATAGATGGTTTATGTGGATTTATAAAGGCCTTTGTTTTCTGCACTGAGATTTGCATTAGAAACGACAGTAAGGATCATTGTTCAGCGTAGATCACTTTGACCAGCTTCAGCCCATCTGTCACGTAGGATTTTGAGTGTGTTGAGGCTCTACTTGTTCACCATGTGATGTGCAGTAGCAGTAGTGGTGACACTCTCTCAAACAGATAGCCTGAAATCACCATGTGAGGCTCATTATGCACCGACAAAATACTTTTATTAAGATTGATCTTACACCACTTGCTTCATAAGAATTTAAAGAAAGAAAATAGAGAGCACTGTGCAACATTTTTTATTTAACCGTCTAAAATAATAGCTTTTTTTTCTCCTGCAGTTTTTAATTGTAGCATCCAGAGGTAGGCGTGAACGGAAACCTCCCAGCATCAGAGGGGCCATTATCTCCTGTGTGTTTTACACCGTGCTCAACAATGTTTACACATTTCAATTGTTGTTACAGAGTTCGTTAGCTCCCCAGTGTGTGTATATGTTGAAGAGTGACTCAGGCGGAAAAGTGTTTTGACCAATAATGTAAAAGTTGTTCAGTCACACTGAACTGCAAACTGCTCTCGACACTCAAGGTTTGGGTTTGTAGAAATATAATAACATTTTATTCTTAATGTGTGTTTGGTCTTTATAAAAGAGCTACCTCTTGTTTTCTTTCTCCTAGTCTGTAAAGTATTTTTAGAAAACTCTGGGAATCACTTTATAAGACTGATGTATTATTAACTAAAATGATATAACATTTCAAAATAAAAAGGTTTTCTGTGGTAGATGAAATTAGGCCGAACACAGTTGAAAGAATTTAGTGTGAATCATTGCCTCATTAAAAAAAAAGAAGTCCCGGCTGATCAATACTTTAGTCAGTCCATGTCTAAAAGATTAAACATTTAAGACATGTAATATCTAAAATATTTATTTAATAGTCAGTCTGTGAAACGTGATGTATCAAACTTTTAACCAACTAAGCTTTCTTTTATAGATCAATGGTGCTTAACATCCGGTTTGGCCTCAGAGGGGTCATTACAAATGCCCCAGAGGGACAATGTCTAAGTGAATAGCTTTAACCTCTGATATTTACTGAGAGTAAAAACCTGAGGACATATGACAGATATTTCAAAAACATGCCTCATCACTATATGATTAGACTAAATAAGCAGTATATTCACCCCAAAGATTGTGTCGATTGTGAGTAATTGGCCCTTTATCCCTCACCTTTGTGCATCCCTGTGTATTTGTCCTTTATCACCGTCAACTCATAGATCTTTCCAAACTGCTCGAAGATGGGCTTCAGGTCCTTCTCCTCCAGGTTTCGGGGGATTTGCCCGATGAAGAGCTTAATTGCGTCAGGCTCCTTCATTGAGAAGTCTAGGGAGGAATAAAAAAACACACACACACACAGCAGGAGAGGCGGTCAGGAGGAGCAGACAGGAGCCTGCGGGCTTAAATTCACACTGCACAGGAGGTGCAAACAGGAGGCCGGGGATGGAGGTGCAGATGGGAGCTTTCAGTGGAAATGGGGGGGGGGGGGGGGGGGGGGGCTGTAATAACAATTTCTACACCCTGTAGTCCAAATGTGCTAATACATTTTGGGAGTTTTAAACATTATTATCACAATGAAAACATAACATTATATTATAGTCTGAGATAATCATGTAAATGGGTTAACATCTCACTAAATTACATAAAGACTCTATACTCTCTCTGTTAACTATGATTTTTAAATTGTAAGTATAATTTATGTAGTCATTTATTGCAACTACACATCGTTTTTGATACTATTTGACCAGCTGAAGCAACTTTGTTTGTTGTTGGCATTAAATACAAAATAAAAGCATCTAAATAACAGAAAATGAAATTATAATCTCATAAATTTCATATTCTTGGAAGTAGATGGACATTAGGGATCAATAATCATGATTGATGGTAAAGAGCTATGTTTGCCTGACATAGCCATGAATATAAATACATGTGGTATCGTAGTAAATAATAGTACACAGTGCACTGATATTCGGTCTAGGCCGCCTATAAGCCCCAAGAGAAACATGACAGTGTCTGTCATCACAGCTGGAGACCTGCGCTCTCTTTGTCGAGACACGGGTTACAACAACAATGACCCGAACATGATTTTACACATTTTACTCAAAACGAAAAACAACAAAGAGTTTAAAGAAATAAAAATCATACCTGTGGTGCTGTTCGTGGCAAAGACTCGGCGTGATCCGTGGATGTCTTTCTTCGTCCCCCCGCTGTTATTTAGTTATTGAATCTCAATAATTCAGTTCATTTGTCTGTACGAGCGTCTTTGAATCCTGTAACAAGTTAGGCCTACCCCCCTTATAACAACACAAGTAACATCCAGCGACGGTCCTTTATTCGGCATGAGCGTCTTTTTCCAGATGCTCCGTGTGTTTTCCCCCTTCCAAATAAATCTGACGTAAAAATAAACAAATGTCCGTCTCTGCTGAATCAAGAGTGTTGTGAATGATGAATTGAGGCTCCCTTCAGTAGACCGTGGGGAATTGGCAGTCCGGTCGGCTGTCCTCTCCTCTCCCGCTCGCTGTGTGAGTGTGTGTGTGTGTGTATGTGTGTGTGTACTTATTTGACGTCGTAAGCCGGTGTCTCCCTCCTCCCTGTCCATCTCAGCTTCATCCCTCCTCCCCCCGGGCTGAACGAGCCGTGATGTCTGCCGCCAGGGACCGTCGCAAAATTACCAGCCCCGTGTCAGCCGGAGGTAATGAGAACACATGAAATACAGTCATGCCTGCCATGTCATTCTTAATTTGCATGTATCCGTTATAAGGTTAGGTTCTGTAATTACTGACTTGTGTATTTTTTCTCCATCAGACTTCAATATTGTGCACTGTTTCTCTTTTTTGTGGTGCCCTAATCCAAAACACATTTTCTTGAATGGACAATAATGTCTTCAAATACAAGATTATTATAAATGATATACTGTAGCTACCTCATAATAATACAAATGCACTATATTTAAAGATGTTTTATCTATTTATTGGTATTTATTTATGTCATAACCCTGACTAAATACCCTAATGTTGACTATAGGTATCAACTAATGTATGTTAACTTATTATATCTTATGCTATAGGCTATTAGAATGGGAACCATCTGTTATTGGCTAAAATGGTAGTGCAAGGACATGTACTCACCCTTTGATGCATGTTATTCTCTCTTTCTCCTTTCCCTTCCCTGTCTATCTTTGGCTATAATATAAAAACAAGGCAAAACATTATCTTGAAAAAAAAGAGTAGGGGGGTAAGTGGTTCTATTTAATATCATGACATAGAAAACAACCCCATATTAATTTAACAAGCTATTTTTGGCATTAAATTACTCAAATGATAACTATTATATCAACATAGTCATGTCAGATGGGTATGCATTGTTTTTCTATCTGTTGATACCTTGATATCCAAAACAAATGGTGTTGTTTAATAAAAATGTGTCCCACTCCTACCTTGTAGCATGCCCATCTTAATTTTAATTACATTTGTGGATGGCTAATTATTGTCAAAGTTTTGCGACACATCTGTTTTGCATAGCACTTTGTGGCCTTTTGCATTCAACTTTTCCAACTCAGTTGAGGTGAACTTATTTAATATATATATATATATATATATATATATATATATATATATATTCAAAAAATTCCTTTGGAAATCCAAAATGTTTTCCAGGGTGACATCTTATATTAAGTCTGTAAAGTTCAGTAATAGCGAATGGATGCACGGCTAGAGTTTAACAAGAACTAAACCTGCTAATACAAAGAAGCAAACTAAAACAAAGCCTTAAAAGCATTTTGGATGAAGTCATAAAGCTAGGATATGGTTTAAGTTGGATAATGTTAGACTTTAGGTAATCACATTTGAAGAGGCTTAAAGATAGGGCTGTTAAGAAGTCATGAGGATTTTTTCTCTGAGGGATTTATCATATTTTTCGTTTTTATTGTAGACACTAAAAAAGCAGACGGTCCCTGACATCAGGAGATGCAAATCCGCCTTTTGTTCTCGCCGTGGAGCTGGCCCTGGTGCTGAAATGGGTCTAACTCCATTCGTGACACGTTATCCTGAGAGTCTACAATATTTCCTCTCCTATTGAAAAAAACAAACATTAAATCAATTAGTGAGCTCTTAAAAGCTGGGACCGTGGTTTTACATAGCAAGAACGCACACACACGCCCTGAGTGAAATCTCGACAGCATGTAAACAATGAGCCCAGATGACACGCAGGAGGCTGCACACACCCCACTTGCGCACACGATGACACTTCAAAGGAGTCACGATTTGGTTCTGCGTGGCTTCCGCAATATTAAACGTGTTTATTTAGAAAAACACAGCAAACCCCTGATCCAGGATTGAATCGTTAAATCCTTTATTTACAACAGGGGAGTATCTCCTCGGCTTGTCTCTAATGTTAACACCGCCATCTGCTATCAGTCACTAAATCCTGTCTTCTGCCCTTCAACCCCAATATAAGCCTATACCGTGCGGGCAGCCAACCGAACATGCATTAATGTTTATATAGGAAAGCTGCGCCACGAGAACATTTGAATGAGTTTTAGTGTCACTTTCACAATGGATGTAATTTTTTTAAGAGTGTAACCAACAACGACATCTGGTGACAAGCTGCATACAAGCGTGGACAGTGGTCGTGAATATGTTGCACTAGGTAGAAGACATGGCAAAAGATTGTTTATTATGGGATTTTTATTAAGTGGCATTTCGTGCTGTGGAATTGGTGAAAGTAATATATAGATAATGTGTTGGTAGCATGTTGTGTCATGGTTGAGGTGCAGCTTATCTTTATTAATTGTTGGGCAGTTCAATCTCTAACACAGCATCCATTACTTTTTTGGTGTCCTAAAAACTTGTACTTGTTAAATAGAAAAAGTGTTAGTGCAGCAAGGTAGTTCTTCAACCTGTATTTTGAAACAAAAGAGTAAGGCACATTACAGGACTAAACCTTTTCAAAGGAAATACTTCAAACACATGAATTATCTCATTCCAAAAATTTCCCGCAAAATATTTTTTTGCTTTTTCAACATTTTGAGAGAAATGGTTCTGAAAGGACATAAAACAGCTGCTAATTGTGAGAATAAACAGACAACACAAACTTGTTTTATTTTAAAGAAGGAACAATAGATCTTTATTTCATAACAATGTGCATTCAATGACAATTTCTACATATTGCAGGTGTATAAATCCCTTGATGTAGTGGAACTCATTGAGATGTTGTGTGTATGAGTGACACAATATATATAGTTTAAGAAGTATCCAATAACTCTGAATGTACTTACCCACATGGGCCTCTCTGTTCATCCTCCCAGCTCTCCTGAGATTCCCCCTGAACACAAAGAAAAACAGAGACAATTTCAACATTTTATTTCCCCTCACCTTTGTATTGATTTGATTTCCTGCTAGTGTCTGATGTATTAAACTGGAGGCTCACTCACATCTCTCACATGCTGCACAGCATTCATGATAGAACAGAAGAGCCAGGAGCTGTGCAGGATTCAAAGAGGAGAGCCACCACAACATCAAACCCCCTACTCCTCTTCATCATCAGTTAACATGTGGATAAGGTTCCCATCACATCAGACACATCAAAGTGTGGCTCTGGATCCCTGAGGGGGACGACAGCAGGAGGGAGGGAAGGAAAAGGAAATAGGTTAGAAATCAAGGGAAATTAGATTTGTCTAAGGAAGTAAACATTATTTCCATCTCAGGATACATTATTAAACACACATCTGAATTATCATGGCATATTTCAGCACGTGGAGAACAATAAACGATTTCATCAATCTCAGTGAAAAAGTATAAAAACATCTAGATTTTTTTTTTTACAATGGCTGCCATTCGTCTCACGAAGCAGGCTGATAAAGTGAAAGTGATCCTGGAAAGGTCTACTGACATCTGGCGACGGTTCACCCACATTTACAGCACTACTTATTATCAGTAACGTTTTATTATATGACTGATTACTTCGTCCCGACTCCTGCCTCGTAATAATAGTTTCTGTAAAATAAATCCGCACTACTTTATCACGCACAAAATCAAAAAATGTGTTCAAATCAGCTTTTAGTTCGTTTTTTATAATTGTCTCACCGTGTGCTGCACAGTTGCACGAGTGTTTTGTAAAACATCGATCCTAATTTCCCTGAACAAAGGCTATAATGATTGGAGAGCAGGTCCTAATAAAGGTCAATCTCACCCAAAATAATGAATCACGTAGTTAGAGCAATTAACGGTGAAATGTGAAACTTCCGCGTCTCGTTTGAGTACGAGTTAACCATTTATTTTTCAACACATCGAAATTCAGATAATATAAAATGTAACATATGTGATTTCTTTTTCTTAAATCGTGACTAAGCACAGTTAAAAGAGCTTGGATAGTCTAAAAATTCTATTTTGATAAATTTCATACGAATTGATTTATTCTAAGAGCATCAATTAAGTGAGTGATTAATTATCCAACAACGAAGTAAGGTGTTCAAGTCCAAAATATCCAATTAACATTTGATTATTTTTGCAAATGAATTAACCAAGTAGGACTTTAATGCCTGTTAGGTAATTGCCTAATCCATCTTACTGATGATCACTTTGGCTTGCAAACTTCTCCCACTGAAGGGTTACCTTAAAGAGGCAGAAACAGAAAGCCCTCTACTGTGCACTGAGGGAAACAAACACGTGTTCCATAAGGGAAACAATGAAGCCTCGACTGGAGATGTGTCCATTACACCCCCAGGGCAGATAGAGGGAAGGATTTCAAACCAAATAGAAAGCTTTAAGGCTCAACAAATCTCATGTTATCAGATTTGGTTGAGTTCCCACTAGAAAAGCAGATTCATATTTTCAAAGATAAAGAACAATTGAAAATAACAAAACGCAACAGGTTTAAGAATAACAGACATAAGAAATAACAGAATCAATGTATAAGCCCTGTAATCAGTGGAGAATAATTTAAGCTTAATAGAGTCCACTGAAAACAACAGTCTTAGGCACATTTCCCTAATCATCCACTAATCTAAAAAAGCAAACTTTGTGGAGAAAATACTACGAAAGCAAGTTCACACAGGTTAAAGTAACCTCGGTGTGGACAATGTTTAAAGTTTTTTTTTAAATAATATTGAATTATTTAACTAGAGCAGACTTTTTTTTCAACCTATGGTAATGTTAACTTTTCTTTACAAAATGGCAGCATTTGAAGGAAATGCCTTATGATCGACGTGTTACCATTTGGATGCAAGTTAGGCAGATTTGTAGTCCTTGAATGATTACTTTTACCTCTCTGGAATAATATTGCATGGTAACAGCAACCTTTTTAAGACATAATAGAAAACTAACAGTGGATCAAACCCTTCCCTATAATCTTATTCCCCATGAGTCTCAAAATAGTAATGAGTAATTCTACAAAAAGCACTGACACACTCCGGTGCTGCGTACAGACGATGACTAATAGGGGCAGTGGTGCAACAGTCTAAGGATCAAAGGATAAAAACAACACACATTTTTCAAACTCAGATTTTTATTAGTCAGTACAAGTAAAACGAAACTGAAGACGATTTTCTTCATCCCCTCCAAAAATGCACTTCTGCGTCGGAGGCAGAAAGAAACTCACAGCTCTCTCCTCCTTTGAGTAGTGTGCCGCTCTCCGAAACCTAAAGCTATCGCCGCAGGTATCTCACGCACAGGTGGAGAAAGCATCGCTTCACAAATATATAACATTCGGTGTAGAAACAATGCAAAAATGTTTTGCCTAAAATATGCGAACGAGAATCGCAGAAGGAACATAAATTCTATAACATATTTCAGACCCAAAGGGATTTAATTTAAATTGAGTTTTTTACCAAAAGCTACTTGAAACTGCTGATTTGAAGAGAAGCAGTCAAAACTGCTCACTGAAAAAACGATATAACAGCAGAAACATTGCACCAACTACATTCTTTTGTTTCTCTTTTAGCAAAAATAATTATCGTCGAGTTCAACGTCCGGTATGAGTTAACCTACACTTGAGCGCATGCACACACGCATACCATGCACACACTCAAATGACGCTCTAATCCACATTTAATGCAATGCTTCATACTGGAGGAAAAAACACAAAAAGTGAATTATATATATATATATATCCACCTCTTATTTTCTTTCATCTTCTGTCTTCACTCTTCCGCTCAGCAGCCCCCTCAGAGCCTCCTGGTGTCTCTTGTTCTCCTGCTTTATTCTTCGCCCCTCTTCTGGTATCAGCTGAATTCATTCCTGGTGACCACCTCTGCTCTTTCATCCACCTAGATGTTCACAGGTGTGGAACTCTGACCCTGCCTTCATGACATCCAGTGAGCTCAGAGCTTCATGCCCACTCAGTACCGTGGGGGTTGAAAGGGTCTTTTCGGGGGGAACATTGGACCAGGATGTCCGCCTCCTCTTGGACCAGGACGTTTGCCCCTTAACCTTGGACCGGGGCCCTGGAACCGAGGAAATGCTGCATGTGGGGGTCCTCTGGGGTGTGGGTGGTGTGCTGGGTGAGGAGGCCGATGTGGAGGCCGTGGTCCAGGATGACGAATTTCAAGATGATGTGGTGGAGGTGGTCTCCTGGGAGCGAAGTGCGGAGGACGGGGGCTGTGGCCCTGGTAGTAAGGGTCCTCTGAGGCCGAGAGAGGGGGAGCGGGGGGCCCTCGAACTCTGGGGTAGTGCTGCGGAGGGTTACCTGGCCTGTGATAAGGATCTTCTGGGTGGGGGAAATTGTCTTCTTGAAAGAAATGGGCATCATAATGATCATGATGGCGGGGGTCATCTTGGTAACCCAGGTCGTCTGGGTGAGGGGGGAAATCCTCCGGGTGAGAAGGAAGGGGTCTGTCTAGGTGAGGATGGAAGTCTTCAGGGTGAGGATGGAAGCCTTCAGGGTGAGGATGGAAGTCTTCAGAGTGAGGATGGAAGTCTTTAGGGTGAGGGTGAGGTCTGTCGAGTTCATAGGGCGAATCATCAGGATGGAACATGGATTTGTGTTGATGGTCGTGGACGATCATCCCGCTGATGACACTGTCGCCTCGGGGCCCGATTGCCTCCCCCGTTCCAACGCCGGGCCCCGGTTGCTGCTGCTCTGGTGGCATCATCATACTGCTGTTCCCAGAAGGAGGGGCGTCTAAAACTCGAGGAGGGGGAGGGAGCATTGGGACAGGAGGGAGGGTACCTCTGAAGTAACCAGGGGCCGTGGCGGCGCCCTGCTGGGGGGCCAACTGTTGAGGTTCCCGAAATGTCTCTGTTTGGTACGGATAAAGTCCAGAGGAGTTGTGTTCTCCAGGCCCCGTCACATTGTAGCCTCTGGGTTGCTGAGAGTTCCCCCCTTGGTAACTGTCCCCATACCAACCGCTTTCACTCCCCCCCTGAAAGCCTTTCATTGTCTGTGTGCTACCGACACCACCTGGGGGTCTTACTCCAGGCCCCGGCCCTCCTGTTTGTGCAGACATCTGCTGGTAGTGAGCATCGGGGGCGGCCATGCCATGCTCCGAAACGTTGTGTTGGCCGTAAGGGTACGGCTGGTATGCCTGCCCGTTCTGAGGGCCCCCCCCAGGCTGCAGGCGGGCCTGCTGTGGGGGATTGTTGTGCTGACTGCTGTTCTGGTATGCTACAGGAGCCATGGTAACCGTATCTCCAATCGATGACTGATTTGTCTTGGAGGTGAACGGGACCACCACAGGCTCGTCCATTATTTCATCTTGAGTTGGGGTGCTGCCGCCCTCATCCCGCACTGGGGTCCCGCCCTGGTTGTCTGTCCCAGTTACGGGGCTGAGGTTGTCCGCTGCTGCCACAGGCTTTGTGGGAAGACTAATGCCAAACGCATTGAAAGCCGGGTTCCCCTGCAGGAAGCTGTGGATTTTAGACTCTAAGCTATCCGAGGACAAGGCCGGTGATTTCTCTGTAGTCAGATCCATGTCCCGATGGAGAGCCTGGACCAGAGCAGATGCTGCATTTGAAGTCTTGGGCGAGGCTTGGGAACTCAGACTCAGCCTTTCAGTGGCGCTGTGTGAAGAAGGCACAGGTGCAACAGGCGGGAGAGACGGGCTCTGAGAGAGTGCTGCTGACGCGGATGTGGATGACGGAGGGATTTTTCCTGTACTGGACGAGACTGAAGAAACATGTGGGCTGCTCAGAAGAGAAGAGATACCTGAGTGAAGAGAGAAGAATACAGAAATGCCCTTTAAGCAAACATACCTCTTTGAATGTGTGATATCAAATAAAATATGTTTTTATTTTCAGACTAAACAAGGACTCCTTTTTCTCACCCCCGAGGCTGCCTCTACCCTGGACTTTGGAGAGAGCGCCCAGGATGTCTGCAGAACTCATGTCCACCTTAGAGAGGAGGTTCACCAGAGAGCTGGCTTCATGGGGGGCCACAGGGGCCGCTGGTGGACTCTTCAATGAGGAGGCAGCAGGGGAGGCTGCAGGAGGACTCTCCACTAATGGCCCTATAACACAGAGAGAGATACAAGGTGTTTTAACCGCAAAATCCCTTAAATATAATAATAGGATTTTGGTAACATATTTTTAATAAAGAAAGAAAATATTTGATACACCACACATACTATGTCTTAGAGATGCATTTATTACAATTTTGTTCCATTTCCTTCATTTTTCACTACGTATGGCAGCTGATGCTGACTTGTGGCCAGCTGTGTTCATGTTGTTCCACAATGACTTATTATGTATGGGCTTGCAGGAGTAACAAAGTGCAAGCTTTATTTCTTCTTCACTCACACTGAAGAACTCCCACACTGACGACATTGTGTGTATGTAGCAGTACCAGTATTATGTCACCAGACTGGTGACAATCGCTTTGGAAAGTGGCCAATCAATCATTGCATCTTTACTTTGTGTTACATTTGATCACCATTTTACTTTTCTTTTACAGTTTTCAAATAGTGTTTCAGTAGCCACCAGCACTCACCTGTGTTCTTCATGACTGCATTCAAACTGTTGAGGATGGAGCCAATTTTACCCAGGTCCACACTTTCCACTGCTGCACGAGGCACTACAGGAGTCGCGGCTACAGGAGCCGATGCTACAGGAGGCGCTGTTACAGGAGGAGCTGCTACAGGAGGAGCTGCTGCAGGAGGAGTAACTGTAGGAGGAGTAACTGCTGGAGGAGTAACTGCTGGAGGAGTAACTGCTGGAGGAGTAACTGCTGGAGGAGTAACTGCTGGAGGAGTAACTGCTGGATTACGTGCAGGAGGAGTAAGTGCAGGAGTAAGTGCAGGGGGCGGGACCTGTGTGACAGGCTGCTCTGGTGCCACTGCTGCCTCTGCTTTTAAAGAGGACACCTTTGGTTGGATGGGGCTTTCAATCTGGTCCTCAACTGAAGAGAGAGATACAGCAGAGAGGGAGAGAGAGAGTTTTGATGCGATCAGATATGCACTACATATAATAAAAAAGGACAATTATCTCATGTTATTTTCTAAATAGGCAACACAATCAAGTTTGTCTTTGCTGTTTTTTTAAAGCGCAGTTCATTTATGGGAACGTAGTCCAGTTATTTGTGAAAAATAAAAATGTATTACACAGGTTATGCATCTAACAAGTTTTAATAAAAACATTTGATTAAGTATAGAAACCAAGTTAAAGAAGGACAGTTCTTATCTCGCATAATTTAGAAGGAAAAATAGTATTACACAGTCTATAGATATTACATAAAATGTTGAAATAATGTAGGTCTTATAAAAGAAACCTCAATCAGCTGACTATGTACTCAATACATTTCTCCATTATTTTGTTCAAAATGTCAATAAATAGTTCATATCCAGTTCCAGCTCAGTATGAGTGGATAATTGAAAGCACAATCAAACGGTTAATATCACACAAGAACCAGTATAACAATAACATCTCTGCAAAAGGCTTATATAATGTCCGGCAGTGGCTCAGTCAGTAGGGGCATGGACTGGGAGCTGTAGGGTCGCCGGTTCAAGTCCACGACCAGACCTAAAATATGGAGTGTGGACTGCTACTTGGAGAGGTCCCAGTTCACCTCCTGCCCTGCCGTGGTGCCCTTGAGCAAGGCACCGGACATCCCCCCTCACTCCAATTGCTCCCTGGGCGCTGTGCAATAGCTGCCCACTGCTCCTAGTACTAGACTCCTGGTACTAGGATGGGTTAAATGCAGAGAACCAATTTCACTGTGTGCTGTGTGCTCTGCATGTGTGACCATTAAAGAGGGTTTCATCCCTCCTAATTCTAATACAAAATAAATAAATCTATAAACTTTAAGTGCATGTATATACTGGAGAAAATAACATCCAACCTATCAGAGTTTAGTTTGGTATAAACATAGCACATACAGCCTGGACATTTACCTAGACATAAATAAAAGTGGTAAAAAAATGCAGAAAAGTCTGAGACATCTGTAACAATGTGTCTAATTTTAATTAGATGGCTCTACGGGTGGGAAAAGTGTCGTAGGCAAATTGGCTGGAAGAAGACATTCTTGGATGGTCTCCGCTGACATATGAAAGCTGTGACAGGAGCTTTTTTCTTTGTGGGATCTCTGCATGATTCAGTGACTTCACTTGTCTATTTCTTTAACACATTTCCTGCATATCGCTGCCAGAGGCATTCATAGATGTTACATTTAAAGTGAGCAGTCAGTCATTAAGTCCCTCATCAGCAGCCCACTCCTTACCTATAATGCCGCCGCTGTCCATTTCTTCGTCAGAGAGCTCCATGTCCTCCACCTCACGGTTGTCACTCTGCCCGACGGTCTCCATTTGTTTTGGGGATCCTCCCGGGGAGGACAGCGGGCTCGGGGCCGGCGCGTCGGCTTCATCCTCCATCGCACAGCCGTCAAGATCTGGATCGGGGCGGGCCATCTCCAGGTCGTGAAAAGGGGACTCTGAGCCCGTTGGAGAGGGAGCGTCTGCGGAAGGTGAGGGGATGGGAGACTCGTCCATGTCTGGCAGGTTGGCCTTCAGGGAGTCCAGTTTACGCTTCAGGTGGGACACCCGGTTGGCGAACGTCTGGTAGGCCTTGAGAGGAGAAGTAATAGAGTTTCAATGAATGAAAAGCCAAACTAAAATGGACTAACAAATAATGCTAAGATAATTTGAATGAAATCAATGTTTCTAAACTGCAAGCATGTAAACTTAGTTGTAGGTGGGAAGCAAGGGTCGTGATATCTGACACCAAACTCACTGTCACTCACATTAGCAACAATCTTGACCTCCTTGTACTGCATCTCGTAGAAGATATCTGCGTTGCTGAGGGACTGCATGAGAGGAGGCCCTACTTTGATTTGTTGGTCAAAGAACTTGACAAAGTCTTGCAGTTGCGCACTTCCTTCCTCAAAGTCCTTGGAGAATTTCTTTCCTCCTGCCTTATCTGTAAAAATCAAGAATGTAAGGGTGATTTTTAAGGGAATGCAAACCAAGGGCGTGTGTTGTAGGAGGACAGGCGGTACAAGAGTAAAAGATTAGTAGAGCTGGCACCTTTGAGTCTCTTGAGGGCATCAGAACTGCAGATGTCGACTCTCATCGCTGCCAGCTGTTTCTCTCTCAGGTCTAACTCCTCCAGAGACTTCTTGTACTTGGACAGATCGTCAAACAGAGCCTGGGGCTAAAGCAGAGAGAGCAGGCAGTGTCAGACCATCAGATACAAGCATTACTGTTAAATAACAATGTTCCAGTTTAGGTTGGTTTAAAACTTGAATGTCTTGCTCACCACAAACTCAGCAACAATCTTGGACTGTAGATCTGCTTTAGACTCGACTGGAGCTTTAAAAAAAAGAAAAGAAGAAAAATTAGATATTACATTAAATTCAGTATTTGGATAACAGAATATAATATACATGTTAAAAATGCATGTTCTTGCATATTTGCATTCATTACAAAATGAAAAGCGGTACCCCCCAGTGGTGCAACAGGAAAGGATACATTTGTATTCATAAAAAAAATCCGTAAAAAAAAAATTGTAAAAATAAAAACAGTTAGGTGTGAAAAACGTTATTTAGCATTATTTTAACATAATGTGACCAAAGTGGAGGGAAATCATGTGTATACAAATCAAATGTGAGTCAAGATCTAACTAGAATTTTAAATTAAATCAAATGCAAGATTGGCACTGTGGTCAGGTTTTTTTGTTTTAATAAAACAAATTAAAAAGCTGAATTAGGCATTTACTTTTTTGCTCCACGGGGGTCTCGGGAGGGGACTCCTCTTTGACTAAGTTGCTCCTGAGCTCAGTGATGAGGGTCCCTGCATACACCCCCCTCTCCTCCCAGATGGAAAGGATCCTCTCCACAGCTTTTAACACCTTTGGGTCACCTTCAGTGCTAGAGAAAGAAGGACAGAATAACTATGAGGGAGCGCAGAGATTTATGTTGTGTTGTTTTAATGACATTTGTGTTTTATATGTGAGGCTTTTCTTTGAACGAATGAAACAACAAACGAGGACAAAGCTGAAAAACAAAGTGAGAAACAAAAGGGGAAGACACGATGAGGTAGAAAAGAAGGAGTAGAAGCTAAGAACAACATAAAAAAGACGTATTCAATATTATTGCATCTAATAATCTGTACATTACATCAGGACTGTCTGGCATACAGAATAAAATAAAAAGATATAATAATTGATGAACCCCATCTCTAAAAACGACTTACTTGACCAGCAAGAAGGCTTCAGGGAGCATCTCAGCGAACGCCGTACGGTAAACGATGGCATTTTTCCTTTTACAGTTCTGAATGACATCGTTAGCGACGTAAAAAAGGTTGAGCCTCTGTGAGGTGTCGGCTGTTGAGAGGAGAGAGACACATAATGTTAGTTAGTTAGTTAGTTAGTTAGTAGGAGCAAAAAATAACTTCTTTTAAAGAATTTCTAAATTTGTGAAGATTTGTTGGGGATTTCAGGATTGTATTAGTTCTGTCTGTTTGCACATAGGATTCAATGTGATTTCACATGTTAAACCAGTGCAAGCATGATACCCAAGTTCTGTTAGGACACCAAATTGTTTTATTTAAACTTTACTGACTCACTAAACATTTTCCCAGAACACCGTTTCTTTCATTGCCTGAAAATTAAGAATCACACACAATTGTCAATCGCATAAACCATTTAATTAAAATTAAGAATCGTACAGAGTATTCTGTGTCAACTTAGATTACTTTGAAATGGTATTCAAATGAATAATGACAAGCCATTTAAATGCTGAATAACTCCACTTTAATACCATGCAATTTGTGCAACAGATACATTTATTAGTACATAACAAGATCTATGCGAAAACTATCTCGTTTGAAATAAATACATTTTGATCAGGGCCCTTCTAAACATTAACTGTGACCGGGGGGGGGGGGGTCATATCTTTGAAATCACAGCCCATGCGTTTACGCTAAAAGGCAATTTGCCACCAACAAAGTTTCCATTGACTTGCTTAAATGCATCATGAGAGGATACAGAGAAAAACACAATGTCCTCCTCAAAGCACAAACTCAGCAGTTACAGCTTTTTAACTACAAAATATAATGTATAAAAGCTGTTGCAAACCATCAAATATATAAAGTTACTCATCTACCCACAGTGTCACTTATTTTATTAAAAACATCATCAATAAGTATTGCAAGTAAAAATGACAGTTACATGCTACACAAACATGTTGTAGTTTAAATGTGTGATGTACTCGGTAAACCAAAAGCAGAGACGTATGTTAGACTGTTCTCCGTTAAACAACATTTGAACTTTCTGACACACATTTCAAAACACGCCCAAAAACAGCAAGCTGAGAGAAGGACAGACAAAAATAACAGAAGGCCAAATCTCTATAGACAGGTTTGTAGGAGTACATCTGCAGCCAAACAGCCAACTCAGGCATACACGTAGTCAAAACAGAAATAGCTCATCTGAAGCCATTGATTGTGGGTGTGAAAATGATAGAATGGTTTGGAACATTGGAATAGTGAAACAAAATGAAATGCCCTTTTATAAATCACAGTAAATGAAAGTGTCCCATTTATTTTTTTAAAACAACAATTGTTTTTATGATAGAAAGAAACCAGAGAAATCCCCCTTGTTTAAAAATAGGAAGCGGTACAGGTATACAGTTGTCTGACAGTGTATTTTGACTACTTCTGCAAGAGGCAAAATACATTAGTAAATACAAAAATACTACTGGATAGTACATGAGCTGACAGTCTCCTGATACATTTTTTTTTTAAACAAATCTTCTATCCAACAGCACAGAGGAAGTCAAAAGGAAGCACAGATTACCGAACTATTTTAAATAATGTGTGTGGTTATATTTTGTATATTGGTGCACCTTACATATACGGTATGTTCATTATCTATGTTTGTTTTACAATTGTTTACTGTAAAAACATCACAAAAAAGGCTATAACAATTTCCCAGAGACAAAGGCAACATAGTTGACGTGATTTAAATAACTAAAACCTGTAACTTGGTCTTTTTCAGACTTGTTAACATCTCAGTCTTGACTTTTTCAATTATCTTCTGAAAATCTTTAAGAGAACTCAAACAATGAACAATGAATACACCCAGCCTTTTGAATCCAATTTGTGAAAGACTCACTCGTGCAGAAAACTCAAGGTGTAAAGTCACATACTGTCTAATATATTAGCAAAGACTCATCAAATACATCTTTGACATATGCTCAATCAGATACACAACTACATCACCTAGGCCAGCAAGCATCAAATTAGGAAGCACACAAAGCTGGAGCGTCACAGAGACAAAGCAACTAACCCAAGCAGAAACACAGACGGAGTACAGACGATTGCCTCAGGACTTCACTGCCATACCTACACTGTAGCTACTAGCTAACTGTGCACGTGGAAATAAAGCCTGGATTCTTGAAAATCTTCAATCTTCATCACTAAAGACAAAGATGGAGACCCTGTATATCGGTATTCTGCTATGATGTCAGGGTTTTCAATGCAGTATTTTCATATAGCATACATCTTTTCTGGCTCCTGAAAAAGTATTTAAAGAACATTTTTTGAACAATTTTCATTACTTATTCTGTAAAAAATAGGATTTGGTAAGACATTTGTAAATGTAAATTTGTATCATGTGCCTAAAGCAGAAATATTTTAAGCTATTTTTTGCTTTACTTCCCAGATTTACCATTATTCTTATGCATCATTGATAAATAAAAACATTTGAGTGTTTCTAATGTTGCAAATAACCTTTAGTGCAGTGCCATGTGTCATCATATATCCCCCCGCTGAAATAACAGAAAGTGCATTTTTATACTTCAGTCTTTGCATTTGAGTGGATTAGTGAAACTGAGCGTATTTACAGGTTCACCATGCATTTGCTAAATCTATCAGTCCCTCTGCGACTGTAACGTAAATCAAACATCAAAAGAAGGTTTTCAAGTTATTTTAGTTGTGCCCAGCCCAACTAATATATCATCAGTTAAAAGAGAGCAAAAAGAAGAGGATTGCACGCTCATGTACAGCAAATGTTTTGTTAAGATTAATAAAATTGAGTAAGCCATGAAATCATGAGTCAGTTCCCTACAAAGCAATTTTTCAATACTTTTTCAAAAGAGGTGATCATTAAACCAAATAAAAATACTATCTAAGAAAAGTGAGTTTAAGTCTATGATTAGGAAACATATATAAAGGAGCACAGTAAAAAAACTGAAATAATAATTTGTGAAACGTGTGCAAATGATTTGAGCACACAGGTCATTCTGCACACGTATTTGTCTTATTGTATCCAACTGGCTAATTTATCACTGATGTCAAATCAACACTTAAATAAGACTTAAGTTACACCTGGAGTAAATTCACAAGCTACTCTGCAGCATACAAGCTAATTACAATTAGCTGCATCTTTGATAACACTTTAATGCCTCAATCATAATAAAAACATGTCATATTATTCTGAAATCGGTCAATCTGCAGAATGAGTACTTTTACCATTGATCTTTAAGTTTATTCTGATGCTTATACTTTTGAACATTTTGATTGCAGGACTTTGACAGAGTACTCCTACACTCTGGTACATCTACTTCACCTCAAGTATAAGATCCGAGTACTTCTTCCACCGCTGATGAACGTTTCCATAGCAATGTTGTCAACAATAATATGAACAACAACACAATAACATCACTGTGACGTCACAACATAGTAAAGGTACTCACATTTCTTCAAACACTTCATCCAGTGCCGCACAATCAGGCTGTGGTACTTCTTGTTGTCGATGCACCACGTTGACAGTCCCTGTATTGAGTCCATGGTGTTGGACACGCTCTGAAACCTTTTCCCCATCGTGGACTCGAAAGAGCCGCCAGAAGAGGCTCGTGCGCCCGCTGCCATGTCCGGAGGAGCTCGCGCTGCTCACTACCATTCCAAAAGGCAAACTGACGTTAGCCGGGGCTAGCACTTAGCTTAGCATGCTATCTTAACGTAGCACAAACATCCCTTTCAGTACACTCTTAGCTGCTTTTAAAATGTTATAAAACACTAAATGCTCGGTATGCTGTTTTCATAGATGTCTTAGTATATTACTTATCCCTGTGTGTCTGTGTATGAGCGCTAGTAGTTTATCAAACCTAATATTTAAAGGTAAAACTTAGCGCATTGAGACATCCTAGAGCACTGTTTACTCCTCGCTGGTGGAGGGATGAAGGACACTTCCGCAAACACGACATCATTATGGCGCCACCCAGTGCTACGGAAGGTAATAACTGATAGCGCCACCTGCTGCATCCATGGCTGTGTGATAGACAAGTTAGTAAGAATTCATTTGTGCGTAATTTATGTCATAAAATACGTATGTTTTCTGTGTGGGGTCTTAATTTACTGTAGTTGTTAAAAGAGAGAATAGTTCGTGATTAATACGCGTTTTAGCTCAAGCAGATGTGTTCTTTTTTAATGATTTTTTTTATCATTTTGGTTTACTGAAAATTGTGCATATATGGGGAACTCATTTCCAATGCATTTTACTGTATAAGTGTTAATTTATCATATGTATACATCTTTATTTGCAAGATACTGTTTCAAAGTTTTCAGTGTGCTCTACCAAAAATAATAATAGACTTTAAGTGTTTAATTAGAACAAATCAATGAACTGATCAATTTGAAAAATGAATTATTAAGTGTTCGATTCAATTTGCCTCTAAGTCATGCACTATAAGAAAAAGGAAATAAAAAAATACTAACACCTGCCAACACAACAGCTGGCAAATAATGAATCAATATTAAAGCAAGACACCTTTTTTTCATCCAACATGTGTTTTTAATTCCAGAAAATCAACAGACACTGAATTTTGATGGACATCATTAATTTAATATATAAAAATATGTGCATTTATCAATCAATCATCAATAAAGTAATTCCATTAAAAAAAACAAAGAAATACCCACGACAAAGAAAACTTGAAGATGTACAATTGAGAAATACATTTTTACTCTTCTTTTAGTTTTTCTATTTTGAAAAAATAAAAGATCCTAACACTAGACTACAACTCTCCACAACATTTTAAATAACATCACTCAGAAAAGAATCTTTGCATTTACACAGCACCACATTTGATACATAAGATAGTGACTCTTTGTATGATTGATAATGATATTTCAGGCAAATGTATTGTTAGGTTTATGTCTGTCATATAAGTAAGGCTGACTGGTGTCAAACCACCAGAGATGAAACACCATTCAACATGAACGATATCTGATTTATAATATGGTGAAAATGGCTGAATGCTTTCAAACAAAGAAAGAGTTCAGGAATGGAAGTTCTTTTGTTGTATAAATATATGTGCAACTCTTTGATGAAAGGTGTACATTTCCTCTGTATCATCCAAGATGCAATTACATTTATTCCAAATGTACAGAGAATCAAATACAATATGTTTGCTTCATAGTAATGCAAAAGATGGCTTAAAATTCATGTAATAAAACATATTTTTGACAAAACTAATTACGAGTAGTATTAAGTATTTATTATCGATCAATTAGGTTTTGATATTTCCTCAGCAACATTTGAATCTGTTACCATCATCTATTTATATTTACAAAGAAATACAAATGTATGTGTGTTAACAGCTCATAAATAAAGTGGTGAAGTAAGGTGCGATATGATATGATGATGCAAAATGGTTTGGTTTGGCACGTTGTTTTGCAGCGGCTACATGTCTTTGCACCAACACGTTACATTCAATAAGCTGGCAAATTATATTTTTAACCATCCTAAATTCTTTATTAATATATTTAAATTGTTGATATATTATTCCTGTTTTTAACCAGTGTTTAAAGCATTTCCTACATATTCTCAAAGGTAAATGACTGCAAAAATGATACTCTTTACAGACAGACGATACACATTTGCTTGGATTAGAGATTAGAGTGCATTCAATCCAAAATTGCACTGGACATTCAGTGGTTAATAAGTGTCTCTTTGCATTTCTATTCCTCCTCTTCCGTTTACATGCCTTACAGCCAAAAAGGACTGGCACTGTGCCAAACTTAATCCTTATGTAATTAAGTCCGCCCTATGGCAAGCATTCAGTTGCACCTCCATGTGGCAGCAAGGTCAGCTCAGGCCAGCGAAGTGGAGTCAGCTGTGGTCAAGATGTCACTTGAGGACACGGAGCTGTCTTGTGTAGCAAGGCTTTCACAAGAGGGCAGAGAAACCTCAGACTGCCCTTGACTCTCATTTACCCCTCTTCTGCTTAAAGTGCAACTGTTGAATGTACCCGTGTGTTCCTCAGCTGGTGTTTGGGTTTTGTCCTCTGGACTTCTCTGTTTTTTGGGTGATCCAGGAAGACAAGTGGAAGCGGTGTTAAGTGGGGTCGCAGCCAAGCAGCTCTCATGTTGATTGTGCGTGCGCTTGGTTGGGATTTTGCTGCAGTCTTCGGGGTCTGACCAGCTCAGCTTTCTCTTCTGGAACAGAAAAGAAACACCAAAAATAAGAACCATAATAAACCAAGGTCTCAAAGGAAAACTACAGATCATTTCACCTTCACCAGATTTAAGAAACCATTCTTATCAACTGAATTTTGACAGCTATTAAACCAAGAAAGACTTAGTTAAAGCTCGCAGTCTTTGCATTCTCTGCTGAATATTATCTTTAAGTGTCTTATATCATTCACCAAATCTTTAAAATAATATTGTTTTCATTCTCTTTTCATCTAGTTTTATCAGTGTTGTTATAATATATATTTCAAATGGATGCTTGTTGGTTCCAAACAAAACATTGTGTCAAAAGTTTAGTTTCGACATTTTAACATCTCAGGGTCATGTGGACCATGCACTTTCATAGGTAGCAAAGGTGACATCTAATATGACGCTCACCTTAACGGGCATGTGGAGCTGATTCTGTCTCCAGTGTGGTCGGAACGTGGGCGTGGGTGTATGGCTCGGTATTACTTTGGACTGAAATTCCACCCGAGGGAACCATATTTTGAGCATCATCTCTATCTGCAGCAGGTTTTGTAGGTATTTCTCACTGCAGGACAAAAATAGTTCAGGGACAAGCATTAATGACAGGACTCTTTATGTATGAGCATGCCAGTGTCCCGATTATTACGATGATAATATTAGGCTTGCAGCTAGTCTTACCCCATTTCTGGCCTCTGCAGAATCCCAAGTATTCTCTGCAACCTGTCTATTGCAACACTCTGCTGGAAACTTGATAGACCTGCAACAATAAAAAAAAAAGTAAATCCAAATGTCAAAACATGTATGGCACTGTAATAACAATACAACTTTGGAGGTGATGGTCATAAAGTTGAATATTGCACAAACACATACCTTTGTCAAATCTTCCAGTTTTCAGTCCGTGCAGAAGCTCAACCAAAGGACAGATAAACCTCCGCAAATCTCTAACCTGGAAGAATAAGAAGAAAGATTAGCTTTACTAATTAAGTTAATAAAAAACCCACTTATAACAAATATTAGAATCTTTTGGCGGGTTCTCACTTTCTGAGCGAAGGCCAGGTCCCCTGGTGTTGCAGGAGATGAGCCTAACGTGGCATCAGCAGGAGAAGAGACGGGATGCTTAGTTTTTTCAGGGCAGCGTGTGATTCTTTCATCCCCTGAGAGGGACTTGTTTCCTCTACTGTCCCCTTCTCCCTCTGAGAAGACATCTGCTTCATCGTCAGTCTGCTCACTCTCACTGAAGAGCATACTCGAGTTGGAGGACAGCGAGTCATAAGATGGCCATTTGGAAGAACTACCCAAGGAATTCATCTGTGGACACAGAAAGATAATAATGTCAAAATACAACTCATTCAGTTCAAATTCTGGGACTGGGCTAAATCAAATAGGGTTACAGTATTACATTATTAGTTAACTTTGTACTAAACGAAATATGTTGATGTCTTCCAGTAAAAAAAAATATTACATTTTTTTTTTTTAAAGAAATGTCCATCCCGTGCTACTGTCTAAATGAAAGGTCAAAAAATATCTTCATATTTCTTCTTTTTAGAATACATTAAACATTGTATTGATGTACCTTTTGGCAGTATCACGCACTATACAGTCTATGATCACGCATCACCAATTAGAAATGGTGTTTGTTGCCAATAGCTGTGATGTGTTCACCAAGTCTCAGTAGAATATAATCGAGATGAGAACAAGGCAAACGATACCTTTTGTTATCATATCATATCATTTCCATATAGAAAGAAGGCAGACTAAGGATGGGCTACTGTAGGACTAAGCGTTTCCACTTTTGCAGTTTCACCATGAGATTCTGGTATTCACTGTAATTTAAAAAAAAAAGAGGCGAGCGTCCGTGTCTGTGCACGTACACCACGGTTCAGGACACTTGTCATCTGGGAACAGATGCTTACCTCCACTGATTACCTCATGAAACTTCAACATCAATAACACACCTATAGCCTCAAATATGGTTTGAGATTAAGTCTTGTTTTCAGAATGTTTTTCATGACATTTAATTTGATAATTTAAGACAACATAAGTATAACGTGGTTGCTGGTTACACACTATTTCTTAGTTTAAGTCAAACAACAAGCACACACAAATATAAAATATGACCTTTACATCCTTAACTATTAAGAAACTTGATATTGTTCATTAAGGCTACCTATCCTATATATCACAATGTATGAAAGTGCGTCGATTCTGATTTTTTTTTAATGACAAATAAAGTGACTACGTATCATATTTGAACTAACAATTTAAGAATGGATTTTGACAAACAAAGTAGCCTACGTTCTGTAAAACAGTTGTATGGAGAAAAGTATTACCTTAAGGTTGGAGCAGAAGTTGATTCAGAAAATCGGTAAAAATAATACAGCTCCGCGAGAGAAGGCACGTTTAACTATTTTGTCCAAGTTAAACAATGACACTCCTTACAGATGTAACCTTCGTAGAGATAGATGCGTAGATACAGTTTAGACCCTGCTCCTTCTTCTACTCTCTGTTCCTGTGTCGTCTACTTTATCAGATACCCGAACCTGTTAGAAAATGTACCCACGGAGCAAAACACGGACGCTACACGTGCAGTGCATGCAGTGAGCCGCGATTGGCTGAAGGGGACTCGCGCTTGTCCCTCATTGGCTACAAAGGTTGACCTATCAGCAGCATCCGCAGCGCTGATTGGCTGGTATATGCGTAGATGCCGACGCACCTTGCTCTGCCGCACGTGTTGGT